GGTGCTAATTACTATCTTTAAAGTCCAATATGGCTTAAGGCTTGTACATATACAAGACTGCCTTCTCTGAGTTGAATTTGCTCATTTGTGAGATATAGTAGGGAGTGCTGCTTAAAGAGATCCTATGCTTGAATTTTTCAGGAATATTCTACCTCAGAGGCCATCCCTCCGTATTAGTTTTGGAGAGCCATGAAAATATGGCTCTTTAGAAAGCTATTTGGACATGTTCGAACATTTCAGTGCATGATTCTGCACCAAGATACATCATGGCCTTCTTGTTTATGCTACTGTCTCTTTATATTTCAATATTATATTATTACTTGAAAGCTGCTTGGAATCTTCAGAGATGGGGCAGCAGAAATGATATACTTATCCATCTAAGAAGATAACATCAAAAAATATTACACTTATTACTTCAAACATAAAAATACACAATTACTGAAAAATAATAATTGTTATATTTTTGTAGTGATTTCCAGGGATACTACTTACCTATTTTTTCTTGCTTTATTAAGTAAGAAGATTGTTTGGTCTTCCATTAAATTTGTGGTTTCATCATTTACAGACAGATCATGCCCGTGGATTTTGAAATATTCTATTTTGGGTGACACATATTCAGATTTATCCACTTTCACATCTTCCTTCTGGCTATGTGGAATGTGTACTGTGTCTGAAGAACTTGGAAGGGCATATTTTGAAAGCCCAAAATCTGAAAGCTGAGGAGTTTCCAGAGGACCATGAGATCCAGATGATTTTTGAGGAAAATCAAGAGGTTTTGGCTCTATTTCACCAGATACAGCAGATTCAGCATTGGTTTCATCTTCAACCTTTATTACTTTAAGAAGAGAATTGTCTCAATGAATCTGGTGATAAGGCATACCAAAAGTCAACAAATACATCACAAATTTGGATTTTCTGTATAAATCTTGCCCTTTTATCACTACCATTGCTTGCTCTATAACCAAGGTTTCACCACTAAATCAAGCATTTTAACCATGCTTTTTTGAATAAGCAATAATGACCTCTATATAAAAATAAGAGATGAATAATTCTAAAGCCAAAGTGTATTATGTCTTGGCAATGTATATATTTAAAGAATTTAGGAGGATCATTTTTTAAATCATTAAATTTTAAATCACTTTTAAACAAATACTTATTTTGAATGCATTTACAATATAATGTAATCACAAAGTTTTTAATCTAGAGGTTCCGTGTTTAATATTATGATGTATCAGATTGCATATATCATTATACCAATTATTCCATATATGTCCTGTACTTATTTATAAGAGAATAAAAAATTCCATACTACTACTACTATTGCAAATGCTCCATCATATCCCCACCCTATACAATGCAGTGAAGATATGGAAAATCTTGCTAATCTGAATTGGTTTAAATAATTATGGGTTATACCAGTATGAACATGCATCCTCACGTGCCATGGAAGGAAATACAATGGGAATAATTAGAAGCTACATATAGATGAGCTTATTTTACAGAACAGAGGCCAGTAAATTTTGTATCTTAGGAAAATTGGCAAATATTTAAAATAAATTGAGGCATACAGTTTTTAGTATATATGCATATTATAGAAATTTTTAAACTTTTGACTTAAGCAGTGCCAAACCTAGCAGCAATAATAAGATCAGAAGTTCAAAGTTATAAAAGATGAAGTGTAATATTAGGCATTGCCAAGCTGAAGTGTCTATTCTTTTTAATATTAGTAATGCACACATAAATTGTACAGTATATTAAAACACCAAATTTTCTAGGGAAAAAATTACCTTCATTCTTGCCAATAAATGGCTTGTAACCATATTTCTGAAACAGATCTCTTATTTTTCCAAGATTGGTTGCATTTTTCTTCATCAGAACTTTGCTGGCCTTTATGAAGTCGTATGTGGCATCTCTTTCTGAAGAACTTGTATGTAGAATATTATCAGCATCAGCCTATGGTTTGTTTTTGTTTAAGTTAGAACTGATCATTATAAAGTAATAACATTAATAGTCAGTGTGTGTGTGTGTGTGTGTGTGTGTGTGTATTAGCAAGTTACATGTCAGGTTTAGCACAAAAGCTGTTTATTACATAGAAGCAGCAACAAGATTCCTTTCCTATGTTTTTCATTTTAATAAAAACATAGTTTATTTTAGAACATGTCTAATTATGACTTCATGCTATCCAAAATGACGTGTTTTTAAATAAGGCTATCATCTCCTAATAGAAGATCTTAGGATTGGTGGGTTCTCTGGAAATATTACAAATTTACCATGGAAGGTTTCAGGAGGCATGGTATAGAACAGGGGTAGGCAACCTCGGCTCTTTTATGATTCATGGACTTCAACTCCCAGAATTCCTGAATCAGCTATGCTGACTTAGGAATTCTGGGAGTTGAAATCCATGAGTCATAAAAGAGCCGGGGTTGCCTACTCCTGATATAAAAGAAATCAGGTTTTCTATCTCAGGGAATATGAAATACTATCATAGGATACTACTTAACACAGGGAAGCTAATTTTCACACATACTGATCTTCCACTAAGCCAGACTTTAACACATTTAAAAACGATGAAGTCCTAGAGAAACAATTTGAAGGTGAAGAGAATAAAGAGAAGCAGGCCATATCTACCTTTAGTGTTCTGGCTTCAGAGTAGAGTTCATGTAGATATCTCATTGAAGAATCATCTTCAAATTCTTCAAAACATTTGAAAATAAATAATCACAACCAAAATCTTTAGAAAAATAATATACAACACTGTACATCAATGTTTATTATTTAAAAGATGAGATGTTCTAGCAATATCAGAAAATAGCATGGTCATTGGTTGGGAGTCCTAAGAACATCAGAGCTTCAGAAATGAACCAATTAAATGTATAATTCTTCTGAACTGAACTGAATTGAATCAGAAACACGTTTTAGTTAATATCCCAAATGCAGAATGAGTGTCCAAATTTACATACTGTGTTGTTTAAGCCAAAATCAAGTTGTTTGGTTTAGCATAAGCTTTCTGAAGCAAAGCAGTTATTTACTGCACTCTCACCTTCATCTTCTTTGAGTAAAATTTGCTTAAATTGCTCAGCCTGCTTCTCCAAAGTGACTGCCAAAGTTCGCAGTTTGTTGAAGAACGTTCCTGTTACATCCATACTGAAGAAAAGCTAATAGATCATTCCTAAGATGAATTTCAGAAAGAATATGGAAGTTGTCAACTTTTCAACTTATGTTAAATGAACACATTAAAAGATTGCTAAAAATATATTATAGCTTAGAAATAGTTGAAACAGCCTTTCCATACATGCAAATTTATATAAAAGGGCACGGTTAATCTAGTAGCACATATATTTATCTAATTCTAGATATTTTCCCTCTATATTGCATTTCTATGTGAGAAATGCTGCTTTCCTGCCAAGCCTTAAACCAGGGGTGTCAAACTGCTGGCCCACGGGCCGGATCTGTCATGCCGAAACCACAGTCACCCCATTGCCGGCAATGGAAAAAAAGTCACCATACATTGCAACATATCATGTGACGTTGCGAGTTGGACACCCCTGCCTTAAACAAATCACTATGTATTCAGAAAAAATTAAAGGGCTCTCCCACAAAGCAACATTATTAGGCTTGATTGCTGTGATGTGCTCTACATAGGGCTGCCCTTGAAAAATCACTCAGAAGCTTTACCTGGTTTAGAATACAGCAGTGCAGGCAATGAAATGTACTGGTTGCCAGTTGGCGTCTGGGTACAATTCAGGATGAAGGTTATTGCCTATAAAGTCTTACCTCGTATCAAGTTAGGATATTTGAAGGATCACCTGTTTCCCGTGGTTTCTGCCTAGCCAGTATGTGCCAGCAGAGTTGGAGAGCTCTGGGTTCCTTTGATTAAACAGTGTCATCTATAAGAATCCCAAAAGTGCCCCTTCTATGTCAGGGGTCCCCAATCCCTGGTCTGTGGACTGGCACCGGTCTGCAGCATGCCAGCAAGTGGGCTGCACAAACAACCAAAGCAGGCAGCATTCAAAACCACACCCCCTCTGGTCCGCAAAAAAACCTTTCTCCGTGGCACTGGTCCCTGGTGCCCCAAAGGTTGGGGACTTCTGTTCTATGTCATGGTGCCTGTCCTCTGGAATGAAATCCTCCTGAAATCCATGTCACTCCCACCCTGGTGTTCCATAAAGCCTTCAAGACCTAATTGTTCTCCCAGGCATTGGGCTCTTTTGGGTGGCTCTCTTATTTTTTTGTCTGTATATTGTGTCTTGATCCCACCTTGGTTTTGTTTGTATGATCATTTATGTCATTATTTGCAAATGGCCTGGAATTACTTGGTGTCTAAACTGACTTAAACAAACATTACAACCGTAACAGAAAATGAAACGGTACTGTGCACATCTCCAGACACTGCCTTTCTCCATCTGCACATTGTACATTGGCACAATTTCAACCATCCCAATTTTTAGCACATGCACAAGTACTGTACCTGTTCTGGGGAAGAAAATATTTATCTAATCTCGCTGGCAATTAATCCATGGTGCCCTTCAATATTCAAGTCTATCTAAAGACTCCATTCTTCCTTCAGGAGACAAGAGGAGCGTTTAACAAGGACTGCAGGAAATCAGTTTTCGGGAGGTTGAAAAACTCTCGCCTCCCGGCTCAAGATAGAGACCCTCGTCTAAGCCTTCCCTGAATACCTCCGATCATTCGCAGAAGCCGCAGAAATGCGGGACAAACACGCCTTCCTATCTCGCCAAGACTGCGATCACCACACTCGCTCGCTCGCTCGCCTCAAACCACAGCTGGCAACTTCTTTCTCTTCGCGGCGTTTTGAATTTCCCGGGACGGCGGCAGCCGATTGGCCTTCTTATTGCAACCCCGTGACGTAGCCAGGCGTCAATTGGTCAGTCCGCGTTTACCTGCCTTTTATGACGCGCCCTCTGATTCAGTGCTCTCGCGAGAGGCGAGACTTGAGGTTCGTTCAGCGCAGCCGCCTTCGGAGCGCCATTTGGCTCGATCCGGATCGCTCAGGGTGGAAAGGACGCATCGAGGCCCGGTGAGTTTGGAAGGCCGGGTAGCGACCTTGAGGCGGCAAAGGAACGTGCGGCGGCCCATTGCCTCATTAGACGAGGCCGATCCTGCATGTCAGTAGTAAGAATCATTGTGGGTGCCTCCCCGATTGAGGTCGCAGCCGGCCATTGCGCTGCGGGAGTAGCGGGTGTTTTCTGCAAAAGCTTTCAGGTGGTCTTCAACGCCAGCCCAGTTCAGTTTGGGAGGGGACTAAAGCAGTTCTTCTCAACCTTCGCTACTTAAAGATAGGTGAAGTTCAACTCTCAGAATTCCCCAGCCAGAATTTGCTAAGGTCGGGAAAAAAAAGTGCAGTACAGCATGAGTTCTATTTATACCTGATTTTATTTTGGTTTCCCCACTAGAGTGGGGAGGCAGAGCCTTTAACACAGTGTTTCTCAACCTAGACAATTTTAAGGCATGTGGACTTCAACTCCCAGAATTCCACAGCCAGCATTGCTGGCTGTGGAATTCTGGGAGTTGAAGTCCACATGCCTTAAAATTGTCAAGGTTGAGAAACACTGCTTTAACAGATGTGGGAAGAAAGTCTTCATCCTGGTTCATCCAAGCCCGGGATAAATAAACAACATGGCGACTGCTTTGGGAAGAAGGTTACAGTTTATTGAAGAGCTGGACTGAAAGATGGTTCTGGCAGGAAGGAGATAAATCAAGGGCTGAGCACCTGTGGATAGGTTTTTATACCCTCTGAAAGCCTTTTGTTTGGAAGTTTCCTGTTCCTGTGACATGAACTTTGAACTGAGTCTGAGTGTGCTTTTCTGTGCCTCGGTATCTATGGTTTAATCCTATTATGTCCCAAAAGTCATATCCTGCTTCCCTGGCTAATGGCTCCTAGAGTTTGGGTGGGGTATGCAGATTTTAGGTCTCTTTGTCTTCTTGAGTTTCTGGCTCCAACTTTCTGATGGTTTTACATTTGCATTTGTATTTGTATAGGGCTGGCTCCTACTTGGGACAGAGAGATTTGGAGGCAGGGTTGGTTTCTGCTTTTAAAAATCCTTTTGAGGAAATATATTTTTCTGCCCTTTTAATATTTCCTTCTCTGGGGCTCTGACTTCCCTCAAAGAGGTGGAAGGAACCTTGGAGGTCTTCTAGTCCAACCCCCTGCTCAAGCAGGAGGCCCCATATCCTATGTCAAGTCCAGTCTCTTTTTAAAAGCCTCCGGTGATGGAGCACCCACAACTTCTAACTGCAGGCCATTTCACTGGTTAATTCTTTTCAGTATCAGGAATTTTTTCCGTGGTTCTAGGTTGCTTCTCTCCTTGATTAATTTCCATCCATTGCTTCTTGTCTTGCCTTCAGGTGCTTTGGAAAATAGGTTGAACCCCTTCCCTCTTCTTTGTAGCAGCCCCTTAGATATTGGAACACTGCTATTATGTCACTCCTCCACTAGACTAGCCATACCCAATTCCTGCAATTGTTCTTTGTATGTTTTAGCCTCCAGGCCTCTAATCATCTTTGTTGCTCTTCTCTGCGCTCTTTCCAAAATCTCAACTTTTTTATAATGTGGTGACAGAAAGTATTCCAGGTGTGTCTTACGATGGCTTTATAAAGCAGTACTAATACTTTGCACCAGGGGTCTTCAAACTTGGTCCTTTTATGACTTGTGGATGTCAACTCCCATGCTGGCTGAGGAATTCTGGGAGTTGAAGTCCACAAGTCATAAAAGGGCCAAGTTTGAAGACCCCTGCTTTACATGATCTTGATTCTATCCGTTAATGCAGCCTAGGATTGCACTGGCTTTTTAGGCTGCTGCCACATATTACTAGCTCATATTTAGGTGATTGTCCACTAGGACTCCAAGATCCCTCTCATGGTTACTGCTATTGGGCCAGGTTTCACCTAATCTGTATACTGTAATTCCAGTGGTATTTATTCCAATGCAAATTGAAAAATATTAATCTGAATAATTAAAATACCTGTATTTTTCACACCAGTATCCCAATTAGCATTAGTGTGCAAATTTCTTTTAAGATGCCATCTCTACTATTAATTTCATGAAAGCATTTGATCTAGTTTTCCTTTCTTTCAAGGAGCCCTTTAGATCGAGTATTGATACATAGATATAATGGTTCATTAAAAAAAACTTGAAAAAATGCGCTTTTGATTTCTCCCTTGTGTTTTTACTCTTGAAAAAAATGAAAATATGTCATTTGTTTTGTGTCCTTCCAGAATCTAGCAAAAACCTTGATATTTCAAAAGACCTTTGGAGGTGAGCTATGGAGCCACCAGTGCCTATATTAATCTAATACATTATTAGGGATTTGTATTATGATATTCTTAATTTCTGTAAATGATCTGGAATCTCTCCAAGTTGAGGGCACAAATTACTTGAATGGAACTTATAAAAATTAATTCTGCTCTTAGCTAATGTAAGTCAAATACATTGACTTAGAATGTTCACCTACTTAATATTTCAAATAGTTAACATTTCGTATTTCTTTTTACAGGGATGTTTCTTACTCGAGTACTATTTCGAAACAGAATTCCTGGAAAACAATGGATTGGTAAACACAGACGGCCAAGATTCGTTAGTCCTTTAATGAAGGCAAATATGATTAGGAGACTTGAAATTGAAGCTGAAAATGAATATTGGCTAAGTTGTTCATATATGACAAAAGAGCAGGAGTATCGCCACGATGAAGAAAATGTATTTGCATTAAAGCAGCAAAAAATAGCTGAACAGAAAGCAAAGTTTCCTGAACACAAGTATGCTTCAGAATATCTGAAACATCTTAACGTATCCAAGAGATGGGCAGATTCCTGATATGTGTCCTTTGCCATTCTAATGGATTTTATGGATTCAGTGGGCTTGCTTTTGGGGACAATGTGAAACAATGCCACAAAGTCAATAAATATATTCTCATTTTCAATCAGCTATTGGCTTCATAAATACATAAGCTTTTCTACTAAATTATGCACACTTTTTTTCCTTTCAGAGTTTAGTACTATTGTTACAAAAAGGATTTGAGCTCTTTTTCTTAAGAAAAATATTAGTGATGCATTAACCCACCCTTATGTTTAACCTACCTATTCAATTTTTTTTTTTTAGAAATCCCTAATAGCTGGCTTTGCCTCCTACTATTTCCCATCCCTCTCTCCCCTGGAAAATAAACCATGTATCTACCTTTGCATTCAGAGGCAAACCCCACAAAAACTTTAATATGTTCTCAGCAAAGAGAACATTCCCACTTCATCCATTTTATAGTATATAGCAATGGTTCTCAATCTGTGATGTTATCACAAAGGATCTGTGAAGGCTTCAAGAAATGTTACGATTTAACTCTTAAATCTTGAGGGTCTGTGGCCACAAAAGGTATTTAAAGAGGGTGTAGAGTGAAGAACCATTGGTATAAAATTAAGCTTGCAGTTTGGAAGAAATTTTGATTTAGGATAGTCGCCCGATTGAGTTTTTAATGGATGGCTCAAGCAAGTGTAGATAGTTGCCAGTGGTACAGGCTCAGTTAACATCTTATTTAGAGTATGTTAAGGTTGCCCTTGAAATGTGCTAGGAATAGAAAAGAATAGAAAAGACACCAAATGATTTTAACATTTTAATCATCAATTAATGAGTGTTGTCTTAATTGAATTAAGAAGCGGAAGAGATTTGCTTTTAAGAATCCCCAGATAGTGCATAAAACGACTGAGACATTTTCCATTTCAATAGAGGCTAAATGCAGTTTAATGCCTTTCCTCTTTTTTATGTCCCTACTCATTTATGATAATACAAAATAAATAACAAATCAAAATATAGCAGAAAGCCTGTTCCCATGTTATTTATTTTCTTATGCATTCATTATATCATAACACATTAATGTATCCTCAATTTGGCAAAGAAGGGCTTAAAGATTATGCTTTTTAAAAATGTTATAATTAAGACATGATCTCTACTTCGATATACAAAAGTCAAACATGATTGAAAATTAATTACACTGGTGGAAAATATACGTGAAGATATTACAAGGTGCAGTTAAAAATAAGAAAATTTCAGGCAAAGTGATCTCTTACATAGTTCATTTATAAAAGCCCATTTAAAAAGTCTTTATTAAATTATTAGTGGCAATATGCTTTTTCTGTGCATAGGAATACTATCTGCAACATAAAGAACAGATGCATCATTCACATTATGTATCCTGTAAGTATCCTCATACCATTTTAGATTTGAATAGTTGCAAGCCTACTACTACAACAGAGAGATCTATAAGTAAAATATCTGCATACACTTTGTCATAATAACAGTGCAATATATCTGATGTACCCACTGGTATATAGCACAGGTTGTGGCAATTTTAGCCAAACTACGAATGCCATTCTTATGGCCATTAATTTATACTGGGGGAAAATGACATAGTGGATAGCACGTCCATAATACCTTATAATGTGCAGTCTTGAGCCATATAGTAGTTACATTCACAAAATAAGTAGAGCTTCCAGGTAAATACATTTACGATTAAGGTAAAAGACCACAATCCTTAAACCACTTTCTGAAGCTTTCTTCATTAATTTAAGAATCCTGGGAGTTATTAGGATTGCAGTAGAATATAAGATGTCTAATAGTTTATCAGTTCTTTGGTACCAGGAAACAAAAATGCTATCTCAACATATGATCAAAGTGTGAGCCATTAATTGCTATTCCATCTTCCAAAAGTCATTTTCAGTCATTTATTTTGTAAACATGGACGGTCTCATTCTATTACAATTTTCAAGTATAATCTGGAAAATACACATTGGATTTTAAGACTAAACCTGCTTTTATAATACAGGTGTATAAGATACATTTTTGGTAGCTATGATCTAAATGAAATTGTATATTGTAAATTGTGTCATTTACATTGCTTGGACCATGTCGCTACATTATTAGAAAATTACAAAAATGACTGCTACGACATTTCTCCAACACAGGATGCCAAAGATCTGTTTAATCAAGTGCTGTTTTAAGCCTTTTCTATTAATTACAACTCCTTGGAATAAGAAATCGTAATTACTAAAAAATACTTGTCTTATTTAAAACTGCAGCATAAAATCTAATTTATAATAGCAGCCAGTAAATCAAGTCTTATGTTTGTACAACTAAACTTAAACAATAATTGGGAAGGGACTTCCTAAGGCAACCAAGAATCTATGCTTACAATATGCAAGCTATAATTCTCCAAAATGAATGTACATAAAATGTTTCCAATTATACCATTACACGTTAATTAGCAAAATGCTTTGATAAAGCACTTAAATAAAATCTACACGTCTTCCAATATAATCAGCATGAAATATCATACTCTTTGGTATAATTTAATAAGATATTCTACCTGTTAGTTACAGTTCAGTATTATAAACACTTGTTTCTGACCCAACATATAGTTGGTTTCACTAGTCACCGTTGGGAATTTTTTCAGTGGCTTAATGATTGCAATAATGTTGTCAGCATAGTTTTAAATTTACTCCTAATTATTACTAGAAATCCAATGCCAAACAAATAAGCACATATATATTTCTATATGTACTTTACTAAGACAACCCTGTTATCCATATTCACTGATGCATTTGAATTTTTACTTATTTTTTAAGAAAACTTTTGCTGTAGTCAAGTTATTGGTGTAATGGTACATGGGAATGACTTTGGGAGATGGGAAGAGCCACAGCCAGGGAAATGGTTGGACAAAAGCCAGCTTAGCCTAGGGGAGCAATGTGAGTATGGTGAATATCTCAGAAGGGACCCTCCTTCCTAGTTTCCTGGAGGAAAAAGGCAACAGCAGAGACATACAGTTTTAGAGCTGCAAGATTGATGTCAGCATTGCAAGATAGTCCAGGAAGGAAGCACACTCAGATGAGCTAAATGTAAACCTCATAAGGATGACATTAGGCTTGCAAAATATATTTATCCCTTGTCATCTTTTAAGGTCCAAGAAACTACAGAGGGTCCCTTCTGAGACTGCCACATCCACACTGCTTCCGTGGTCTAAATTGCTGTTTATCCAACTGTTCCCCCAGTTGTGGCTCTTCCTCTGTCTCCCAAGATCCTTCCCATATCATTATAATTAGCTTGTAATAACTGATCTTTCCTATGTACCAAATAATTTAAGGGATAATGTATTTGCTGTAGCTTGTAGTGGATTTGCAGAATTTGTACTGTGCTCTTAACAGTCTGACTTCCTTTTATTTTCTCCTCTCTATATCTAGATGTACTAGATAGCACTACTTCATAGCACTGAACCACATGATTTGACCAAGAGGGCAACGAGAACTTGAGCCTAACTTGAGCTGTAAAGATAGGATGCAGCTCTGAGTCACAAAAACTGCACAATGTATTTTATTCTCATTTTAGAAATTAATTTGGAAAAGCCAAATATGCATATATTTTGCATTTTATTCTAGTTTCTGTTGTTTAAAATACTCAAAATCAGTTTTTTAAAATATATCACTTGTATAAATTTTGTTTTATGGATTGAAATAGGAAATGTAGAACAGTTGATATACAACCGATGGTAATAGATTTAAAAGTATATATTGAGAGAGGGGGGGGGGGAGAGAGAGATTTATGACCTCTTCAAAATCTTTCTCAACCTTAGCAACTTTAATACGTGGATACCACCGGCTCCCAGAATTGCAGGAGCTGAACATCTAAATCTGCCAACATTGTTAAGGGTCATAATAATCAGAACATTGCTTGGAGGATTGATGATTTGTGGGAAAGGAAATGCATGCAGAGTTTTTGTCAGAGTCAAGCATCCAATGTCTTGCTACCTTCTAACAGATTAAGATAAGCATTTACTGTTGTACTGAAATTATACATCAACAATACATCTTATTGTTAAAAGACAGGACTGGATCCAGGATCAGAGAGAGATAGAAAAGACGAGGAATTTGAACTATGGAAGCAGATGGCTGTGAACAAGGTCCCCTTTCCCCAGTTCCTTCCCTAGTTCACTCAATGTTCCTAGTACAGAGAGTTATGAAATCCAATCCACAACAACACGTTCATACCGGCTTATTTTCTATTAAAAAAAAGCAAGAACAGAAAGAAAAAGAATAATTTCTGTTCACGGCTGAATAACCTGCAGACTTCAGGAAGAATATGTATATTGGGGATATCGGGCAAAAATGCTTACAGATAAAATTCACAATTATTAAATATTCTAAAATGGGGAGGGAGAACATCACTTTTCCATATTTCAAGAAATTAAAATGTTAGATTTCTTAAAAATAATGACAAAAATTGCTCAGGAAAATAATTTTCTCAATTAGTGCTTCAGATTGCTAGTGAGCTGAGAAGAAAACCTTGCTTCTTTAATACTGTATTGCAACAAATCAAGTCTGAAAGAAAAGGACTTCAATTATCAGAGAAAGTTAGAAAGTCATAGTTTTCGACTGGCTGCTTCACAACACCTCTATTACTACTGGTTAACTCATGATGGTTATGGGGGGGGGGGAACAAAAAAGTACCAAATACCAATAGCCCACCAGATGATGATTGAGCCAACATATATTGTGGAATTTTAATGGTGAAATGCTATAGTAAACTACATTACTACCCTTTCCTACCCCACAGAACTGTTAATGAAAGTAATGACACCAGCATGGCATTGCTTCACACATGAAGTTTGCAGAATCAGTCACTACCACAGTGCAGCTGGAATGCATAGTTTCTGCACTTCTAAGTCTTGCAGACTTTTGCAGGACATTTTGAGAATTTGGCCCTTGTAATAGCTTATGTCCATGTTGCAAAAATGCACATCACGAATCTTAAGGCATCAGACTTTCTGTACTGGAAGTGCTTATAAGCATCCACTGGATACCATCAACAAGCTCGTTCTCCATATCTTGTTAACATGCTGGAATCGTTCCATTGATTTATTGGTGTCTTCCTTAAAAAAATAACATCCAAGCACAAATGTATTGTAGAAATCTATTTGGAAAACAAACCGTAGAAGTATTGTATTGAGTAAAGATAAGTAAAGGCAAGTAAAAATTCTGCATCGAAAACTGATTTCTCTGCTATGAATTGCTGAATATAAGAAAAACTTTCCAGAAAAGATACTAAAGCACTTATGAAACCTGGGCTGCCACTTGCTTTGCTGAATCAGCTTTTTCTTGCCAAACTAACTCTTGTTTTACAAATTAGTACTATTTTTTATACAGAAGAGGTTTCTGCTCTGTCAATGCTTTGCAAATCTTCCATTTTCTCTGGAGTTTTTTTTAGCTGTCTTTTGAATTTAGCCTGCAACTTGATGAAATCTGTCTATGTTTTGGGAAAAGATCCACCATGAGATGTTTAGTATCAATACTGGAAATATTTTTTCTGTATTTCAGACAAACGTGGATTTAGAGCAGCATTTGGCCTTATTTCATACATTTATATTCATTTCTTTTGAAGAGCAGAATTAAAAACTGCTAAATTTGGAAGCAGCTCAAATTAAATTAATGCTTAATATGGTAACCTTGTGGGTTGTAGTTTTAAAAATAAGCTAACATAAAAATATGCAAAGTAAGCAGAAAACATTTTATTATTAAGTGCTACTCAAGGTCAGCCTATATGGTGTGGTCCATGCTTTCTTTCCTCTTTACATAAAAGATTTTGGAATCAGTCATATTATTGACTTTTCTGAGAATATATTTCCTTACCATTTCTCCTTCTCTGAAAGAAATGGATACTGAGATAAGATCAACTCTCCAATGAAACTATAATATGTTTTTTTACACCTGAAAATGAAAAAAGATGAGTCCGTTTTAGAGGTTTTACACATATGAAACAAAGGAGGACACAATTACTACTTAGTTGTTCTTTCTTTGCTGATAATCACTGTCTCCTATGCCAGGTGTTTTAATTATTTTAATAGTGGCTGTTTATATTTTAAATAATGACTGTCTTTATGTATTTGTTTTAATTGTAGTATGCTTCTGAGAATTTTTTATGAGATGGGCAGCCATATAAATTTCATAGATCCTCTCCAGATATTTGTCATCAACAGGAATTGTGAAATCCTTCTCCCAGATGGCTGCTGCCCAATAGGAAGAGTTTTCTCTCCTGCTGATGATCTGCAGTTTTTGTTGCCAAAGCAGGTTCTTTGGCAGTGTTGGTTCCTGGATTTAAATGGGGGCACTTAGGAATGATCCAAAATGGCTTTTGGATGGCTGTGGACCCACCTAGGAGGGGGACATCTTGAAGACTGCAGTTCCCTGGCTTGCTGGATGCTGATTTATTTCAACCCCCTGCTGGATTTTATCTCTTCTTCTTTGTTTTTTTCCTTTGATCTATTTGGCTGTTTTCATTAACTTCAGCTTTTCCATAAGGAAACATGGCCTTTCTTTGCATAGTGAAAATGTTTTTACTTGATTTACATTTTTACTGGACATTCACTGCAGGGATTTTGTATTTTATGAAGTTTGGAGTTTATTTTTCTTAATCTTTTTTAATATTCTGTTCTTTTGTCTTTTTCCTGTTCTGCTCTGAAGAACTCTTTCCTACCACACTGAACAACAATGAATTGGATTATAGACAAGGGAAGGAGTGTGACACTCGAGAAAAGACTGCTTGGCAACATGCAATTCTTAGCTGAAAGCTTTTTTAAAAAGTTTGAACTCATAATGGCAGTGGAAAACATCCAGAGGTAAGTGACTGTAAATAAATTAAACCCACAAAAGGAATATGATTTCAAAGCAGGAGATTTGCTGGGAAGAAGTATGAACTCAGAATTAGAAATAACAGAATTGACTCCATTCACCCATGAAGTTCAAGCCTGCATTTTTATATAACAGTAGAAAATGGTCTGGGTGGATAACTTGTAAATTGATCTTTTTTTAAGTGGAATGAAGGAGGTTAGGAAATGTATTTATCACATTTAACTAAGGAGCCATTTCATCTGAACATTTTTGGGAAGACAGGCTGGCTTTAAAGATTGGACTTATTGTATTTAAGCAGACAACAATTGATAAGGGATGGTATTAAGATTGGATCAATCAGGGTTAATTTTTGGAACGATTTGAGATAGTTAAGAAGCCGTAGTAAATTTTTTACGAGTTGATTACAATAACAGTTCATTAACGGGTTTTGGAATTTTGTCTTTTTTTATTATTACCGTTCTTCCTGTTAAATATTGTGTTATTAATATTGCATACAGATGACAGGTTAACAACTTGTAAATAGAATTAGTAGTTTAAAATTCTTTGGGCCTATTTCAAAAGGGGTGGGAAACTAATATAATTGTAATATATTAATGAGCATTCAACTAGGAAGGATACTATGTGTATATGTGTTAGTCTTTTTAATGCACATTTTTCTTTTTAATGTCTTTTTTTCTTTTTTTTCTTTTTAAATTTTTTTGGGGGGTACTTTGTATTTTAACTTTTTTTGAATAAAAATAGATTTAGAAAAATAAAAGAATTGTGAAATCCTGCCCTGTAACAAGCTACCTTAATTATGCATACCTGATTTAACAGCTTCATCTTCTGAACTGACCTCTACCCACTGGTTATCACCGGCGAGCAATCGATTTTGAGATTCACTGAGTGGCCTAATAGGAAATGGCTGACTAGTAGAAGAGCTGAAAAATAAAATTTCTTTTAGAGAGAATGGATTCCCACAAAAGTTCACTCTTGCAACTCTTCATGAAATATGTTTAGAATTTCATTCTGCTGGTTCTAATTATGTACTCCTATAATCCAACAGGTCTGGGCTGCAAAACTTGAATGATTTTAGATTTTTGTTTTTTAAGAGTCGCTGATGTCATATAATCAGATTTTCAAAGCTCAGATTTGTAGCCGTAACTACTGTATAACATCCATGTTTAGTCTAAAGAAAGACAACTCTAAATTTATAAGAAAGCCATACAAGCAAAATTTGATTTTTTAAAAATGATCATACATATAATACCCAGACACCTTGCTTTATTTTGCCAAGCAGGATTACTAAATTCTGTTAAAAGCAATCTTGGAAATTGTTCCTCCAGCAAATAGCTAAAGGTGTTCAGAGGCTACCTGTCAGGGATTTTTTTTAATTTGGATATTTATTGGACTAAATGGCTTAAAAATGCTACTTTAAAACTCTGCAATGAAGCAGCTAGAAACCTTTTAGTTTCTAATTTCTCCACTTGCACATCAAAAACAGGTGGCAAAAATCCAATCTAGGGCTCAGCAAACTTCAGAGAACAATGAAATTCAAAGTCAAGGAAAAGTAGTCCAAAGGATTTTCTACATATTTTCAGTTAAAACAATTTGACTGAATAAGAGTTTCCAATACACCCCCATTTATTTATTTATTTAATCTGCCAATCAGCAAGAAATTTAATGTACAATTATAATAAAGCTAAAAATAAAGCTAAAAAAATAAAAAAGGAATACAAACAATAGAACAAAATTGAGATATCCCATATAATGTCAGCCTAGTCCAGAAATGTAACCAAATAGATTAATTCTATTTTATTGTAAGATTACATTAATAGGATCTTGCAAATTTGAAAGTACATCCCCCCCCTTGCATTTACAACCCAAGAAACTAGGGAGTGTTCCTTCTAAGACATTTACCAGACCCACATTCCTTTTGTGGGCTTAGCTGCCTCTTGTCTGACCATTCCTATGGCTGTGGCTCTTCCCCCTGCCTCCCAAGGCCATTTGCACATACCGTTAAACATACGCAATTTGGCCTACTTCTATTTTTAATATCTTGCAGATAGCTATCAATTGGAAGTGGGGGAAGGGTCACTTCTGATCCTTCGGAGACCGTTCTGTAGCACTGGCCCAGCCAATGATAAACAACATCTGTAAACATCAGCCCCTTGCATTCTGGGAAAATGGAGGATCAACGGCAGTTTCTCTTTACTGCTGAAATGGTGCCATTAGATTGAGATAAAAGATAATCCTATTTCCCCATGGTAGAGGCAGGGACGAGAGGACTGGTTCCTGTTGCAGGAGATGGCTATTTTGAAGTTCTCCTTGTTTTGGAGAACATGCACAACTACACAAGCTCTTCCATCCATCTCAAAAATCATAAGATTTTTTTTGCTCATTTTTACTTTTTTAAACCTACTTTTCCTTTCTTTTGCTTTTTAGATACCTTCTTGGGAACCTTTTGCATAGATTTATCTGAGGACCTCTGGCACACAAGGGCAAGAGGAGTTAAGCCACCAACCCGTAACAACGAATACCCTCAGTGCTCTTCCACAAGTCCCCGAGGAGGTGTGATAAGTGCTGCTACAGTTCTTGAATTGCTGGCCTCTCAATGGAATGACACTTCAAGCTTCTATAGTGATTTCCTCAGGTAATATTCCATCTTAAAACTCTAGCTACTTTTCATTACCCAGTCATTAACATCCAGTCAGGCTGCAGCTTTGAACGTCTTCACCTACAACTAGACACCCCCAGTTTTTGCTATTCGCACATATGTTGCTGTGACAATCCTTTTACAGATGGGTTAGAAAAAAAAGGGAGTTTTTATTATCCATTTCCACTGCCCAAGTCCTGGCTTTCTTAGAGGCAGACCTTGACAGGGATAATTATCAAGCATTGTCCACAGACAAATGCCAGCCCTCTCCTTAGCCCTCGAGGACTTCAACTCCCAGAATTCCTGAGCCAGCATGGCTAAGCATGGAAACCTATCCCTTTCCCCTCAGCATGGCTGGCTCAGGAATTCTGGAAGTTGAAGTCCACAAGTCACAAAAGAGCCAAGGTTGCCTACCCCTGCCTTAGCTTTAGAATCAGGCAGCAATGATCCTTTCTCAATCTATTCACATGACAAAAGATTTATAAAACAGGCCTCTTTACTGCAACCAGAAATTTAAAAGCCTTGTTTGGAATACCTGATTTGGAATATGCTATTCTCAATACTAGTAATATCTGACAAATATCAAATAGATAAAGGAAAGGGGGAGGGAGTATAGTCAGACTTGCATGATTCTGTTACAGTAATTTTACAATAAAAGTAGTATTAACATTTATTACTTTGGTTTCCTAGTCTAATCTACCTTATAGGGCTGATAACTACACATTGTTTGCCAAAAGAGAATTCTGCACAATCCAGTCAGACATCATCAGTCTGCACCTAGACTTGAACTTCATGACTCAGATGAATTTGGTTTTGCACTGGTGCCAGGTGGCAATCTTCTCTTTTTTTCTGCCCTATCCCAGACAGCTGAAGAGGAGGAACAGATTTCAATTTCTTAGTTTCCGTAGACAGCCCAGCTGGCCTGTAAAGCTTCCTTTAGCACATATCTTCAGGCAGAATAAGCTCAAAGTCTACTTCCTGAGCACTTAGCCTGCCCAGGCATTTTCAGAAAAAAGGCAGACGTATCTATGGAGTGGCCCATCAATATCTGCAACCTGTACAGAATCTAACATATCTATCCTGTATTCTTACCAACTCTGGCTTTGTTTGTATGACCAAATCACTGTGAGATAGAGTGATTTCCCTCCACAGAAATCCACACCACAATCCTTATTAGCTGTGTCTGAAGAGAGTAGGATTCCCACATCAGAATTTCTCTCTCTGCTGTAGAATAAGAAACTTCACAATCAGTCCAATATGCTGTTTCAGACAAAGGGATGATGCTGGGAAAGCAAACTGAGAGTTCCATGCCAGGCTTCTTCACATATGTTACACTATGCATTAAGTCTCTTACATATTCTCATTGCAACTAGGTTTGAAACTATTTGCCGATGAGATAAAAATTGTCACCTGTGCGTGCAACAGCAGACTTCTGTGTACCTATGTAGAAAGCATTGCACACACCTTTTAACAGTTTCATTTTGGCTTGAGACAGCGAGCTGCTCAGGATCCATAATCACCAGGCGTGTTGGAAAGTTGCAACCATCTCCTAAGCTGCACAGTATAATAAACAGGACAGAACAAATATTTCATTAGCTTGCTGAATACACACAACAGAAACATATATACAACTTAAGTTTTAAAACATCACATTAAATGGAAGAGTGGTACATAGACCACGAACATATCATATCCAGCACCAAGTATTGTACCTGTGGCAAGAAAGAATTTATTGTAGTTGCATGTAGCTTTCAGAGAACATTAACAATTATTTGATATTAATAATTTGTCTGCAAATGTCAAAAGATGGCATCTAAAAAAATGGAATGTTCCTAAGCTGCTTTTCAGATCAGGAATGTCTGAACGGTACATTCTTGCAATCTTATCAGTACATTCCTAGTGTAGTCTATGTAATTCCAGAGTACACTAAGTTTTTCATTGCTTAACTTTCTGGACCAAACAATTCTGAACCATTTACAATTTTTTAATAAAGGCTTTTAGATATTGCTAAATAAATTATTCATGGAGGACGTCTATGTATGTGGTCACTAGGAGTTGAAAATTACTTGATGGCGCATTGTCAATCAAAAGAAATTGTAACTGGCTAATTGGACTACTGACTTCATCAAGTACAATAGGATTATCTATAATGGCAATGTTTTCCCAAGTATATTAGCATGATTCTTCCATTAGAAATTCATATCCAAAATCACATTTTTATTTTTAACTTAATTTGATAAAATTTGCAAATCCAGTAGACTTAGTAAATAAACAAGGTATTTCTATGCTGAATTTCTAAGAAATAACTGCACAAATACTAATATTTGACTCTCTCTCTCTCTCTCTCTCTCTCTCTCTCTCTCTCTCTCTCTCTCTAAGAAAATGTTTTATGGGAAGAACAAATCCCTAGGTTTTTTGTATAAATAATTTAAATAATGGCTATTAAGTGATAAAGAAGGGAAGGAAGTGTTTTAATTTCTTGATTTCAGCTTCATCATTGTCCATGTATTCTGTCTTCAGTCTTTATAGCAGGGATGTCAAACTCAATTTCATTGAGGGCCACATCAGCATTGTGGTTGCCCTTGGGGGGGCAGGGTGGGTGTGGCCAGGGTGAGTGCGGCCTACTGTATGGGCATGGACAGAGTCGGTGTGGCCTTCTAGCTGGGCGTGGCCAGCTCTACATCATTCGTGTCAAGGGTGCCAGTGGGGGCCTGGGCAGGAGTGGGACAGATGTGAGGGTCTCTGGCAGAAGGGGTGGGGCCAGGGCAAGTGCCAAGGCATGGTCCACTGGAGGAGCCTCACTGTTCCTCTCAGGCCATGTGTGGGGGGCTGGATGGTGGCACAGGCTGCCCAGAGCCCTGGGCAGCAGAGGCCAAACACCCAGCCTGGCCCTCGAGCACCTGCGGCATCAAGCCGTTTCCAGACGGCCTTGTGGAGCTAAGACTGAATATGTTTCAGCATAGATGGCCACCACAAAATTGTACATTGGCTCCCGGCTGGCCTGGGTCAGGGCCAAGGAAGCGGGGGCCGTTCCCTCACTGTTTCCAGCATGGCTTTGCGGGCCACATGAAACCACTTCGTGGGTCGCATCCGGCCCCTGGGCCTTGTGTTTGACATGTCTGCTTTATAGAATGCAAGCAATTGAATTAAAAATTATTACGGCCACAATAAGAAAGTTGTTATTTTACTATTATTTATTTGATTTCTATGGCTACCCATCTCAACAAATGATCATTAGAATTCCTGTGATAACCATGGCAGGATCCATTTCAAAGTAGTTTCCTTCCATTTTCTGTATTCAAGTTGGTAAGGCATATTTGGAAGAAGTTAAAGGGAAGCATTAATTTTAAATCTTACTCACATGGCAGACTTATACTCTGATATAAATTACTTTGAAATCTGTGTTTGAATATTTTTGGGGGCTTTGGAAGCCATGAGCAAGCAGAGGTATTAACACCTGAATTCTTGAAAAGGAATTTGGGCCATTCAAAATTACAACAAGGCAGTATATTTAATAAATACCTTTTGAATTCACTGGTCTACATGCATTAACAGCAACTAAAGTACCTACGTTATTGTCAGTGCTTTGTATGATTAAAAGGTGAGACTAATTCAGCAAAAAATAGTGTATGAAATTTAATGAACTACTCAGAATATTTAAGTACTGGATGTCAACTTCACTATGCACTAATTATAATATAGCCAGTCCTCAGGCTATGACTGCAATTCAGACCAGAATGTTTGTTGCTTAGTGATGCAGTCGTAAGGTGCAATGTCACACAATCACATTGCCTAGCAATCTATGTGGGTTGTTACACTATGGTGTATGTCAGGAGCAGGAGCAACTTCCAACTTCTGCCTGTTTCTCCACTGACTTTGTTTGTAGGAAGCTGGCAGGAAATGTAGGAAATTGTGATCACCTGACCGTGGCTCACTGCAGCATTATAATCAGAAGCCAGGCACTGGATGCCTGGATTGCGATCATCTGATCACAGGCATGCTGCAATGGTAGTAAAAATGATAGTAAATCTCCTTCATTCAGTGCGGTTGCAATTTTGAATGGTCACTGAACAAGTGGTCACAATCCAAGGATTACCTGTACAGCTAAGAGTAATCATAAGCCACCATTTTGGTTTAATATCAATAAGTGTGTTAATTTAAAACGCTATATCAATCTTTAATTCTGGTCACAGTCCAGAATATATAGTAGTATAAGATTAATATTTAAAGATTTATATACCTCTGAATTCTATACCTAAAATTTAGAATTTATAAGTACAATATATAAATGACAGTACCTTGTAAAAATAGGGAGCAGCCAGTATTTTTTTTCATCTCCAAAAACCTCTCTTAGGTTTTTTTGACATCCAAGAGAGAAGCCATTTTTGTCAGGCCCATTTCGAAACATTGGTGCCCGGAAAGCTTCTATATCACACATAAAGGAAAACAAATTCATCAATTTAGGAAAGTGAAAATGTCTTCCAAAGCGAAATATTAAGAATAACAGAATAAAGCATCTCTTAGATTGAGTCATCTCTCATGAAAATAATGTCATTTGCAAGGCTGTAAAACATGTTATAGCTCTTAAACTATATTTGAGAAAAACTGCTTCAGATACAAATATACAACATCAATTTTTTTCTTTTGTTCAGACCATTATAAAAACTAAAAAAAAAGAACAAGAGAAGGAACTAATATTTTATAACGCTATCATTTGTCTAGCTCAGGGATAGGCAACCTTGGCTCTTTTATGACTCGTGGACTTCAATTCCCAGAATTCTTGAGCCAGCTGTGCTGGCTCAGGAATTCTGGGAGTTGAAGTTCACGAGTCATAAAAGAGCCGAGGTTGCCTAACCCTGGTCTAGCTAAACAAGATTGTATAATATTTATTTTGGTCAGCAATTAAAAAACACAATTTTCTTTCCAAATCCTTTGCAATTATTAATATTATTTTCTTCATACAAAGTAAGCTACTTTGTTATAATTTTCATTTTGTGTAATCTAGAAGCATGCGTGTTTAAGCTCAGAATATACAGAAAGTCTTATTTATTTCCCTATACACTCAATGGGTATATAATATATAACAGGCATGTCAGATGTCACATGACATATCGAACCTTTCCCCCCATTGCTGGCAATGGGGTGGGCACAGTTTCGGTGTGACGCATCCGGCCCACGGGCCGGCAGTTTGATATGCCTGGTATATAACAAAGAGATTGTGGCCTGGCATCAATAGGGAGATATTTTCTTTCCACAAAAGTTTCTGTAGCTGGAAATAAATACTATCATCATGATTCCCATTTCCTTTATTCATTTTCTTAGCTATATTAAGTTTGATAAGAAAAGAAACAGGAATCTGACCTTTGCTGACAGAAGATTGTAAAATCTAAAGACACTTACTTGGGCCTAGTTATATGCAAACATGATCAGATATTAAACTTACAGGGTAACCTTGGGTCAGATACAATTTTCAACATAAACGTAGCTCACAGAGTTATTGTGAGAATGAGTTGAAGAACCTTGAGCTGCTGGGTCAATGGATGGGGTAGGAAGTAAAGAATAACAGAAATAATAAGAATCCCTGTAATTTACTAACCAATTGTTGATCTGTTTTTACCAACTAGCCAGCAGTGGTAACTAAACAATGACAGTATGCTGATGAAGAACATAGCAGCCACAAAGAAAAGGAAAAGAACATGGAATTTTGCACGGGTGTCTGGTAGTTCGTTCTGAGAAGAAAAAGAAAAGAACTCTATTAATGCACTTTCATCGATTTCCTGTTCAAATGCTATTTTCTTATAAAGATTTTATTCTGAATTAAAATAAATAATATGAATTCATGTACAGCAATCAACACTTATATGTGAATTTGACAACATACAGTATTTCTTTGTGGTCATAACTTTCACAACTAATAGACAAAAGTCACTGAACTGGAAAAGTTAACAACTGACTGTCAACCAGTCAAATCAGGAGGAAAACAAATATTGTTCAAATTCATCTTGTTAAATTTGACATTAAGAAAGGATAGAAGAGCTGAAAAATTTGCAAGATGGACTAATTAAAGATTAGCAAGGGAATAGTTGTTGTGCTAGATGAAATAAGAAAGATTTAAGCAATGTTTTTGTTAAGGAAGAAAAGAATGATTAAAATATACCTGTGAATTTAAGAAATTTAAAGAAACTTCTTGAAAATACAAGATTATAAGGCAGGAATCCTTCGACTCCTCAGAAGATTTTTCAGGATTAACTCCACTAAGGGAAAAAGTAACTCTATCTATAGAAGCGAAGGCTGACTTTCAGATCGTACTTGCAATATGTATGGAAACCTCTGCAGCTGATATTTATTTAGCAGTGGCAAGATCCAATACAACACTTGGATCTGCAGAACCCATGGTATTTCCAATCCCCAACACACTCCAAACCATGTCAATTTCAGCTAATGTTGATTAATGCCTTCTCTTAAAATCAATTTAAAGATTAATTTGGTGTTAAGAAAATGGCTGTATATTAGGTGCAGACAAGCAACACTGCAGCATTTTTCTCCTTCTCCCAGTATAATCTTGGGAGAGAATCAGAGAAATATTGATCCATATGCTAATTAAATTAAGTAAAAGAAGGAAGTACTCCACTTTGTTTTTCTTTTAACTGGAACATATCTGTGTGATAATTTTTATTTACTGTCTTAATATTTTTTTAAAAAAATATGTTAATGTTATATTATTGATTGATATGGATAGTCACTTTAAGGGATACACAAATGTTTAAAATAAAAAAATGTATATTTTTGACTACAGATGTGGGAAGTAAGCCAACTTTTTCCACTTTCAGCCTACACTAGAACAACAGTTCCTAAAAGAAAGAGCCCACAAAGCACTGTCTAAGAAGGGGAACAAAGGCTACCATTTTTTGAGCTGCTGCCCATCTTCCCCCAAAAAAGTGACTTCAGAAAGCATGAGTCTAGTTTTGTTCAGTGAAGACTCTTTTGGCAGTGAACAAAGAGTTCAAGGAATCTGATATTGATGGTTCAGGAAGGGCATAATCTAGGCTGGGAGAACAAGACCAAATTTCTAACAGGTTTTCCTCACCATGTAGTTCAAGGGAGGAAGACCTTCCTTTATTCTCTTTATAGTGATTATTTTTCTGTGTGCAAGTAGAAATGGGAAGAGAATCCCTGTGAGGAAAATACCCTGAGACTGTATGAACTCGGGATCACATACTCTGAAGACATAGCAATGGCCTAACCAGAATAATCTCTTATTTGCAGAGGTTTTTTGCAAACATTTTGAAGGTTTAAACTATTCAAACAAGATTATTATACCTCATACATTTCAAAACAGCTTTGTATCATAACACAGAGTACATTGTAAGCAGGTGAAAGGAAAGAGAATTCTTTATAGATTTTAAAAATATTTTCCATATACTGAAGATTCATATGTTGAGTGAAAAGTTTAATGTTTTATTAATGTACCACAATTTTTATATGCTCAAATGACTAAATACCTTATTAAATACTTAATAGCTTCATATTAAAAATTCAACAGCATGTTCCTTTTAAACAATGACAATACAACAGGGACTGAAATAGCTTTTTTATTAATAAAATATAGATAACATTAACATCATTTAATTTTCTGTCAATATATGCTATACTTTAGAGCACCAATTTCTCCCTCAGGCATTAAATAAAATACATATTGCTAATTATAAAGGACTAGAAATATTGTGTAATAATCTTGTAACCCACTATCAGAAATAAATGTACATAAGAACATACTAGCAGAGACTACTGCTTAAATTGCATTTTACCTTTGGACAATTCTCAGCAGATTTCCTGCGGCAAAGCTTTGTGCAAATAAAGACAATTTATTAAACAGCTATAAGCCCTTAAGACTAGTGTTCAGAAATAAATAAAAATGCTATTAGAAAATTCACGGTCTTTGCGTGCACAAGGTGTAAAGCGTGCAGTATTCAATGTCAAGAGGTCAATAGTTTACATTCACTGAATGAGTATGTGAAGATGAACTTGTGTTTGCATGAGATAAATGAGTCATTGATTTTAATGGTGTATATTCAAGCCGCACCATTAAAATTAAGAGATCTATTCATTGCTCTCTCTAATTTTTATTATCTGAAGCCCAACTTGAAGCTACCTCTACAACAGAAATCAACTAAGAAACTTACTGGCAATTTCTGTCTACATTCATCATAATTTGAACTAAAATTTGTTACGCAAATATGAATCAAAACATTTCAACAGTAGAATTTATTGAATTTTCTGACCCCTTAATCCAAATGGTCCCTGTACTTCTTCACCTTCTGGAAGAATATTTGGGGGGGGGGGAAGTATTAATACAAACAAAAGACACATGCTCTGTCCAGCATCTCCATCTTGTAATCTTAGTCGTCAACTTCAGTTGAAAACAGTCCTGGAAATTCCTTCTTGCTTATATGATATACAGTACATGTACAATAATACATGTACATATGGCAACCTTTTTGAATGTGTGCATATGAGCTGGAAGCAATATTCCAATAAAAAGCTATGACAAAAAAATTATAACATGAACTGGCATGAGCATGCAGAAGACTAACAGAGTGCATCCATAAACATCAATCAGAAGACATGATGAAAACACCTTATTCTCACAACATGGATAGACAATTATAGTTTCCCCTGGAAAATAATGCTAGTGAATGCCTTATAGCTTGACATTCAGACAATTTAGTCATAAATAGAGATAAACCACATTTACACATAATTCAAAAAAAAACCCATAAAAAGAAGTAATTAAATATCTGCAAGCAAACAACCAAACTCAGAGACTACTAAGACTTCACAATAACATGAATTAATAATTGAGTAAGTTATATTGAAATGCTGAAATGTGCCATTTGACAAACAGTGAATTAAGAATTTTTTTTGGGAGAACAACAAATCATGGAAACAAGTCTCAGATGCACACATATATACCTACATACCACCTCCTACTACGGGTTATCAAAAAACTCACTTGAGAAAATAAACTACGTTGCTCTAAAAAGGAGATGGAGGGTCTCTAAATATGATAAATAAATTGGATTTCCTATACAGATGTATACAAGCAAACATACATTCTTTCTCTTATTCCCCGTCTCAATCTTTTCTCCTTCTGAAGAAACAGAAAAAAAGGATCATAATGATATAATTACATTAGGAGGGAACAAAAAAGCAGCAAAACTGAATAAAGATGAGGCAAAGAGAAGAACTCTTGTTTAGGTGTCACAAAAGGGTTAAAATTCACCAGGCAAACAGAGCTTCAGACAACACTCATGGTTCAGCATAGTCTTCAAAGGCATTGATGCTTTGCCACAATCTCTGCAGCCATTTTCATTTCTTGGTTATTCCTTTATTTTCAACTGTTCTTATATATTTTTCAATGAACTTTAGAATATCCATACACTTCTCCAGGGACATCAGCTGAGGTTCTGCATACTTGTTCCAATGAAGCTAAGCCTGTGCATGATGCTCCAGGTGGCTCAAGTGCTGTCTTCTACAACTTATTGCCATGTATGGTTAAGTGTGCATTGAGGGAACAGGTACTATCAGAAAAAAGTTGTCCCCTAAATCAGATAACATCCCTGTTCCCCTATTCACTGGTTATTGATCTTTTTTAAAAACAAAAACAAAAACAAAAAACCCTCCTCTAAATTTAATAAGCTAATACTTAAATTAAATTAAAATATTTGATATTTAATGTGAAATGTTAAGGAAATATGATGAGCAATTTTGCTCAAAATTAATGCTACATAAAAAACAAGCTTAGTCTGTGGATCCAGAAAAGCCACAGATCTTGTGCATCTATGGCTCTATTCCACATTATGTTTAATGATAAGCTCTGTCCTGCTCAAATCATTGGGCCGGTTATCTTGGTCTAATGAAAGCAGGCAGTCCAAGTAGATCAGGGTATCTATAGATTTTTTCATCCTATTTTCCGTAACAGTTAAGATTCATATTTTTAGCCATAGTTTTGGCAAAATTAAGTGACCTGAAATGTTCCTATTTGGCAAACAGAGGGAATTAGGAATCTCTTAGAACAGTGGTTCTCAACCTTTTTAATGCCGCGACCCCCAACCGGTCGTAAGTCGAGGACTACTCAACCGGTCGTAAGTCGAGGACTACTCAACTGGTGCAGCACCATTTGCAGAATGGGACTTTTGGCAGGCTCAGCAGGTCAGAGACACTCTATTCAAGAGAGTCTATTCTATTGGCTTTCAAAAGCCAATAGAATAAAAGGGAGTAGCACAGCTAAGGAAAAGGGGGAAAAAATGGCGGACTGCGTTGTTTGGCGACCCCCGTGAAATGGTCGTTCAACCCCAAATGGGGTCCCGACCCACAGGTTGAGAACCACTGTCTTAGAAGAAGTACAAATTATGGAGAGAAATTATACACATAGACACACACACACACACACACACACACAAACGTAACCACCAAATGATCATGCAAAAGACACACACACACACACACACACACACACACACACACACACACCAGCAAGGGTTTATGTAAAATACTCTACGGAATAACAAGTACCAAGCTGACTAAAACATTAACATGGCTCACCTATAAAATAAACTTCATAAATAAATAAATAATGCTAAACTATGGCTTACTATGGTTTTCTCACTAAGTCACAAAATAATAACACATCATAATAAATAATAATATGCAGTTATGGATCACAAAACACAAACCATGTTATAACTTAGACAAAAGAAAGGAAGGAAGGAAGAAAGGAAGAAAGGAAGGATCCTTGTTCCCTAGATATTTAGTAATAACAAAATAAGTACAGTGTCAGAGAGAATGCTAGAGTTGAAAACGTAGCCTCCAGGATGACTGCTGGTTGAATAATTTATTTCCACCTCAATTAACTTCTCTTTCTTATTATGATATGCTAAGATTATTGATATGCTAAGATTATTTTAGCACATATCACCTTTTATTTCAGTGGGCCATGCTGCAATATCCAAGAAGGATTTGGTTAATTACACTTTTCCATTATATGGAAATTGGGGAATTCCTTTTTCAAAGTTTGGAATGCATCAAGATCTTAAAATAAATTCAAGTCAAATTTCAAAATCAAACATTTCAAATTTCATTAAGAATCCTACTGTCTTGTAATTTCTCAGCTATGACTTAGTACAAAGTCTTCATTACTTGGCATGTACCATGACATGCCAAGACGAGAAAAGAAACTGCATGAATCAGTTAGTCTACAAATGTCTGCATTTGCCTGAATCATGAAGAGATATCACAGGTGTGGGCAAGTTAACAATAAATCACCCCTCGTGATTTGATTAGGTTTACCCTGAGTAAAATATATTTTTAATGCAAAAATGCACGTACAAGTTATTTTTATTACAAAAAGTTTTATTTTGTGCTTACTTACTGTATAAATTATTCACATTCAAATAATGTCTTTCAGTCTATGAATGTTAAGCAATTATTTTCCAAAACCACAATGCTGCTATTCCAAAAGTTTAAAGCAATATTAAAAACAATCTGATTTATGAAGCCAGGCCATGCTATTCACCCAGAATGAAGATTAAAAATCAGGTTTATTTTGAATTTAGAAGAGGGCAATGTTGAAATGAATGTCATACATATATAATGTGCTCTCTTAAAACATGCATGAAAAGCCAACATAAAATGTACGATCCACAAGATAGCAAATTTGGCTGCAGCAAACCAAAAACCATGTATTATATATAAAATTTAATTATTTAGTATTTTACTGCTACACTCAGACTGATGACAGTTACGTAAACTGTGACACATGAAAGCATAATGCTTCTGTATTTTTTTTAAGTTTAAAACTTCTAATTTTAAAAAAACTTACTGTCCAAAACTTTATGAAATACTGAAGAACCGTAGCAGCAACGAATAGACAATACAGGAGGGAATAAAATAAAAAGAGGAGAAAAAACTTGTAGTTGGAAAATCCCACGCAGTTATTCACCCTGGAAAAGGAAAAAGAAATAGCTTTTTTTCCCCTTCTATAGCAAGGGTTAAACAAATTATTGCAACCATGTTATAGATCAGTGGTTCTCAACCTGTGGGTCGGGACCCCATTTGGGGTCGAACAACCATTTCACGGGGGTCGCCAAACAACGCAGTCCGCCATTTTTTCCCCCTTTTCCTTAGCTGTGCTACTCCCTTTTATTCTATTGGCTTTTGAAAGCCAATAGAATAGACTCTCTTGAATAGAGTCTAATTCATTGGCTTTCAAAAGCCAATAGGAATTGTCCAGGCTGTCTCTGCCCTGCTGAGCCCGCCAAAAGTCCCATTCTGCAAACGGTGCTGCACCAGTTGAGTAGTCCTCGACTTACGACCGGTTGGGGGTCGCGGCATTAAAAAGGTTGAGAACCACTGTTATAGATGGTCTCAAAAACAGTTGCTAATGGAGTTGCCTGTATCCTCACAACATTGCTATAAAGATCAGAGTCAGTTACTGTTTCCTAGAAAGCAAACTAAAGGAATTGCTGTTTGTCGCCCTTCCAGAATATTTTCTAGTTCTTTAGCTTGTTTTTGCCTTTTTGGGTGTGTGTGTGAGGAAAAGAACAAAGAATTAAGAACAACTGTGGACTTATATGGAATTCAAGATTACTCCTGAAGATGAAGATGGTAGTAAAGACTAATTTTAATGTTTATTTATTTTAAAAAAAGTAAAAATAAAAATAAAAGTCAGATTGTCTGATTGTTGTTTTCCAGAGAAGACTCTTAAGCGTTTGAGAGGACTCTGATGCTTTGGGTATGACTCTACTAAAAGCATAAATTTTGCATTGCAGCACATTTTATTTCCTTTAATTTATATAGCTTCCCACCTCATTGTAATGACTCAGAGTGCTAACAATAAAAAAACACAACACTAACAACAAGGTAACAAAAAATACATAATTGACAGCTGACATAAAACCACAAACCATTTTTCATTCTTCTCCTAATTTGGGGGGACAGGATTATAAGTATAAAAAATTATGTTATACCTATAATTTGTGTTTTTTTCTTTCTCAATGCAGCAAGAAATCGTGCTGCTTTTTCCTATTAGTCAGCATTAGGATAGTTATTGGGGGCATCACATTTTTTTTTTCTTTTAACGACCCTGTAATCCCTTGCATCAGAGTGGAGTTGGGGCAACTGAATGAGCGTCTACTAGCCGGATGCCCTTGACGCTTATGCTGAGTTCTCAGCAGACAATTACTCATTATGCCCAGAGAGAGAAATATATGTCACTACCTAGGATCAAACTCACAGCCTCTTGATTGTGAGGCGAGAGCTCCATCTCTAGGCCACTGCACCATTCTATTGGGGGCATTACAATAAAGGGGTTAAAGTCCAAAGATGACCTTCGGGACTTCGGGATCCCTATCTTCCTTCTAGTTATCCTATAACAACTAAAAACAGAACAGTAATATGTATTTATCAAATACTGCTAACAATGTTACCATTTGGCCTTGTTCTTACCTATGTTTAAAAATAAAGCTTCCATTAATTTAATGAATCACGAGTAACCATTTACAGACCATTTACAAACTAGTGATTTAATTAAAGCATCTTCAGAGAATTACTTAGCTATCCTTGAATCACTATAAAGCCTCTCTGTTATTTTGACAGTCAGAGTTGATGATTCTAGAATGTGCTGTCTGTTGCTAGTGAGAAAATAACCTAAGGTTTTTATGGTGAGAAAATAAAAATCAACCTAAGTTAAATTTAGACTCTTGTTAGCAGTTCACTCTCTAACTTTCCCCCTAATTATTCCTAGTTATTCCTACTCTTAACTCATTTTGTGCATATCCAATAATAAAAGAGCTTACTTATTTGTTTTGGTATGAAACCAAAAACAAGAAGGAATAAAAAAAAAAACATACCAAGGACAATGATGATCCATTTTCAGTATACATCTAAAATAAAGGAAGACACTTGAATCAATGCAAAGGTGATAAATGAATATTATTATGCTTTTTTCAATAAGTATATTTAATCTCAAACTTTCAAAATCTATTCCAGCACAATAACATTTTGGAAACTATTCCACCTCTGTATCCAGATTGTTTAAAGCATCCAGGAAGAAGCAAAGTAATACAAGGCGAATTCACAGAGTTTTCCCCTATATTTTCCTTCACAATAAAATGCAATCAAGAAAATCAGAACACAGATATAAGTTGAGAAAAAAGGGAGAAGCATGCTTAAGCCTTAAAACCCTTTTTTAACTCAATCCATCTTACAATCGGGAGAAGAAATGGATAGAGGCAAGCATAATGTGTGCATTTGGCACAAAAAAATGGTAAGAGGAAAGAGCAAGAAGCACTTTTCACTTAACTTTGCTATTCTTCCACATACAACTTTTCTACAACCATCTTTCATTTTCAATTCACTGAATTTTTTTTCATGCATCTGGTGTTTACTACCTTTAGCATTAATTCAAATTAAAACATTAGTTGTCTGTGAAAAATGCTACTACTACAAAGCATAACACTCAGCTTCTAGAGACCACATCCTTCTTAGCATATTCTAAAGCAGATTAATGGAGCACAACAGCATTAATAATATACTGAATGCAGGCATATTCAGCTGGGGGCTGTAATACTGACACAGGAATTCAAAAGGTTGTGAGAAGGAATATTATGGGCTGTACACTGCCAAGAAAGCAGGACAGTGGAGCCAGTGCAATAGAACTCCTATCTTACTTCTGTCACAAACTCAAAACCATACATTATATGGGAAGTAACTAGCTTATCTTTTATTTAAAAAAAAATAAAGTACAGCACAACCATGGGTAAATAATTTGTTTTGAGATGTGACATTAAATGATTATTTATATTTTTTTAACCTCCATATTCCCAATACATGAATTCTGAGAGTATGTCAATACATGGCATTCTCTGAACTCATAGGATACAGCAACAGTAGATTGGCTTGCACAGAATAGAATGAGCATGCTTGGGGTCAACCTGAGTATTGGTTATGCTTCTAGAATACTACCAACAATGTACCAAAATTGATGGATTTTTTAATCCTTTACAATCAGCAAGGAATGCTATACATGGCAATAAGAATGGTAAATAGTCTACACTTTCCTATATTGTTGAAAACATTATGTGAAAGCTTCAAATGATTGAAGTCAGGATGTATGGCGAAGAATGATATGTATGGGCTATGTTGTGACAACTATAGCAAATGAAATGTTACACCTTGAAATGTAAAAGGAGAAGATGATATAGAACATGGATTAACCAATGAAATTAAATTGTATGAAATTCCAATTGGTTTTTATGTGTCTGTGAAACAGAAATGGATACAGTGATATAGAAATGAATGAATGTGGTCTAATCTTAATGGAAATTGATGAATACATGCGGGGATTTGAAGATGAAATTATGCTAAGGTGTTATGTCAGAAATTATGAATTGATGGGGAACAAAATTGGGAAGGCTAAAAAAAGTGTGCAATTGCCCTGGCCTCTGCTTTACTCCTATCAGAGTGAAAACACTTCCAAAAGTGAGATGGGAAAGGATGTAATTCAAAGGAGGACAAAATGAAAGAAATTGACAGATTCAGTAAATTTCCTATTCATCATACTGGGCACCTTTAAACTCTTTCTCACTTGCAAATTATGGACCTGGAACAGGGATTAATTGGAAAACAAGGGTACAAATCTTTTTGTACCCTTTGTCATTTGGGAGTGCAATAGAAAAGAGAGGAATAAGATTATGAATAGTTGCTTCTGATATACAAAATTTTAAAGCCAACTGTTTTGATCCTGCATTGTTTGTACATCTCTCAAGGACATCATGAATCACATCCACCTCTGTTTTAGTTGCAAAAAATACAATTCCTGTAGTAGAATAGCATAATAATATAGACTGAAGACTTGAATCTGTCAGAGCCCCTGGATTTTTTTAAAGAGATTTCTCTGAAAGCACCATCAGGAAGTGCTTATGAGTATCTGAGCAATCAATGTTTCTATGCCATGGCAACACTGACACACACCAGACTGTGATTTTTATTGCAGTCACAGCATAACATAATCAATGTAAACATAATTTGACTGCAGTTTGGTGTAACTATGGCTCCCAATGCTTGCTTGCTTGGAAATGATAAGCAAGGCATCTTGGCATGGAAAGCTTGATAAATAAACATTCAGGTTCTTGAATGTGTTAATCTGTTCTGCTCACAGAAAGACCCAAATAAATGTCAATGAACAGTTTGCATCAATATGCTGGTTAGTTCATAAGATAAAACATTTCAAATAAAATTTCCAAAATTTTAGAAAAAAATGATTTATTATGATACATAAACTCTATAGAGGCTATGCTTATTTATATACTAGTTTAATAAGTCATAATTATTGGTTTAAATTAATATTTGCAATGGATGAGCATCACCCTGGGAAAGCTACTTTCACAATCATGGCATTGCCAATGAATCTAACAGGTATTCAGACTCCCTTATTTATTTAATCCCCAGAGATCATTTACTCTGGCACGAGTAACGAAGAGAAGGACAAGGGGGACATGATAGCAGTATTCCAATATCTCAGGGGCTGCCATAAAGAAGAGGGAATCAAGCTATTTTTCAAAGCACCTGAAGGCAGGACAAGAAGCAAAGGGTGGAAACTAATCAAGGAGAGAAGCAACCTAGAACTAAGGAGAAACTTCCTGACAGTGAGAACAATTAATCAGTGGAACAGCCTGCCTCCAGAAGCAGTAAATGCTCCAACACTGGAAGTTTTTAAGAAGAGACTGGACAGCCATTTGTCCAAAATGGTGTAGGGTTTCCTGCCTGAGCAGGGGGTTAGACTAGATGACCTCCAAGGTCCCTTCCAACTTTACTACTATTACTATTACGATGTCCCCTCAGCTGTACCTGAAAGCCAATACTAGGAAGATTCCTTACTTAGACTGTGCTTTTGTGACACTAGACCCACAGGAACAACAGAGCATGCACTTCTCCAGTGACTTTATGACAGAGACATTTGTACTAGCCTCATTTCACTATTATTGCATAAATACTCAGAATGTATGGGATAATTTTACACCTCCTATTGCTTTCAGACACCAACCCTGCCACAACATACAGTGTTGCCACATTCTGCACAGCAGTGCTTAAGGTTCATCTGATGATGACCTGTGCCATTAATTAGACTTAATGAGCATCTGGTTCACCATAGGAGAGTGTTCTATAACTTGAAATAGTCTTCCATATACTAACTTTTATTTTCTCCTACATCCATCTGATGTTTCTACCCCATCTTTTAGATTTTTTTATACTTGTTATTTCTGACTTAATATATTTTTATATTTTCTAGCATCTTATAATTCTTATGTATCTTCCGTGCTTCTTAATTAACTGTACCCCACTCTCTTTATGCCAATCTATGATCATAACAGAGATCTGATTGACTGATGTGTAAACCCAGGCCATGTAACTCACCAATATGTGAGTGTTTAATCAAAAAGACTTATTAAAATACTCTATTTAAAAAGACACAATTTACAATTATACTTCTTTATAGGAAAGAGAATAGCTATGGTTATACATTATTCTTAGTTCTGATGACACAGTTTATACAAACACATGAAAAGTATAACTAAGATAGGCAAGTTCAAGCCCATTTTCAGCCATGGAAGGTCACTGTGTAAATCTGGGCATCAATCTCTCATATAACTGTAACAAATGAAATAAATTAATTTAGATATTTTTCCCGTTTGCAAAACAGATTATTATGAAGAAACACCTTATACAGGCAGTCCTCAAGTTGCAATGAATATTGGGACCAGGATTGCTGTTGCCAAGTGTTGCCAAGTTGTAAAGTTCTACATTATGTGACTGCATTACTTAAAGACAGAGATCAAGGCATTCCAAGTTGTCCTCATAACTCCAAGACATGAGGGTCGTAAAGCAGGAAGCAGCAGGAGCCCCAGGTAAGGAGTGCAGGGATGAGCCTTGAGAGGCCCAGTGCAGGCCACACGTAAATTGGGAGAGGGGCTGCTGCAGAGGCCAAGGAAGGAGAATGTGGGATGCATGCAAGTGCAGGGAGGCTAGGGCAGGGGTACGCAACCTTGACTCTGGTAGACTTCAACTCCCAGAATTCCTCAGCCAGCATGGCTGGCTCAGGAATTCTGGGAGCTGAAGTCCACCAGTCATAAAAGAGCCAAGGTTGCCTACCCCTGGGCTAGGGAATATGGTATGCAAGAAGTGGGGAGCATCCCCACTGATTTTGCTTGGTGTAAGCTGGCAGGGAAGGTCTCAAATGGCCATCACATGATTGTGAGATGTTGTCACAATTACCATAAATGCAAGCTTGTTGTCAGGCACTCAGATTGCAATTGCATGATTGTGAGGATGCTGTAACGTCCGGAACATTGAGGATCAGTTGTAAGTACCACTCATTCAGCATTGTTGCAACTTTGAAGACATGCTGAAGAAGTGATCAGTAAGCAAGGACTACCTATATGTGGAAAAGGAACTGTGTGATTTCAGGTCTGAAGATATGTTTGAAAACAGACTCATCAATCCAACTTAGAATTGGTATATACTTACAGGTCACATGCAGAACAATGATGACATCGATCAGGTTTGATCAGCTGGCATCTATCGCAGTATCTAATAGCTATATTGAAGATTTCAAAGTCAAGATATGAAACACGAAGCTTTAGAATTAGAACTTTAAAACTTTCCTGCTTCTCAAAATAGAATCTAGAACAGTGTTTCTCAACCTTGACAATTTTAAGGCATGTGGACTTCAACTCCCAGAATTCCACAGCCAGCAATGCTGGCTGTGGAATTCTGGGAGTTGAAGTCCACATGCCTTAAAATTGTAAAGGTTGAGAAACACTGATCTAGAAGAATTAAAAATGTAAATAAAGCGCTTATTTCAAAGATGAATGGGTATGGAGTAATGTGAAAACTCTCCAATAACTTATTATTTATTCATATAGATTTTATTGGCCACCCAACTCCAGTATAGAGCTGCTCAACTATAACTGCTGTGAAAGTAATAGGAAAGTGACCTATCTGTATATCTGCTTTTGGAAAGCTGAAAGATGAACATAATCTAAATCAGCAATCTCCAACTTTTTTGGCATGGCAGACAGGCAGCGATGACAGCAGTAGGGGAGAGGGATGGTCTCGCACATGCAACCTAATCCCACCCATGCACAAATAAAGCTTCGCGTGCTTGTCTGCCGTTTGCCCAGCCGTTCCCAACTGGTTGCAGACTGGTACCGGATTGCAGCCTGGGGGTGGGGGACCCCTGATCCAAACAGTATCTGGAACAGTTCTTAATTTTGATTTTTACCTTTAATTGTCACTGTGAGAGGGACACTGATAGATTTTATAAACCAACAAATACCTGGAACTTGAGTTAACCACATGGAGTCTCTATGTATGAGTTGGGTGGCCATATAAATTAAATAAACAATCGATCAACCAATCAATCAAACATACACCATGCAAAACTTTCAAAATGAAAAGAAAGTATCATTTCCCTCATATCTTAAACAGAGAGAGATACTACCGTCCTTTTTTTACAAAATACCAGAAATATCTTTGCAAATAATGGATCTTCGGTATATTTTGGACATGGATGAATGCTATAAATGCAGTTAGTAGAGGGGTCATGCAACTCAGCCTGACTAAGGAACATTTTAGCAATGTTCATGTGATACAGACATCAGGAAGAATGAGAGTTTAATTTTGGAAAAATCTGTCTGTTGATGTAGAAATAAAGATAACACATCTGGTGCAGGTCCAGTGAAGGCAACACTAATGCCATTCCTAAATGGCTTACCTCTTGATGTTGTTGTAGTATAGACAGGCAGATCTTTAGCAGCTCTTCTTAGAATTTCCTGCTGAGATTCTGGTCTCTCTTCTTTTTCATATTGCTCCTTATCACTTTTTGATAAACAAAACTGCAGAAAAGGAGAGAAGCATGCTTGTTTTCTGCTCATTTTATTTAGCATCTGCTAACTTATATTTAGAGGATACATATAGAATGTTTCAGAATTTTTTATGCATTATTAATTCAAAGAAATATTAAATCAAAATCAAAGAGCTGACCAGTTTGTATCACCAAACACATAATGTATATTATCCTAACCCAAAATCTATTTCCCCTTTCCTCTCTTTAGTACTGTACAAACTTATGTCATACCTCTTCCCATTATTCCTAGGTATATGATATTATCTGGTAATTATAAATGCATGTTAAGTACATTACTATACTTCTGGTGGATTCAGCAATTATGACTGTCACATAAAATATGCAGTGACCTAGACAGATGCAAACTGCACTGTTCAAATTTATATAATGGACATTTGCACTGGTTGGTTGGAACAGGATTCCACTCATTAAATCATCACTTGCCCACAGGGATCAAGAACTGGATGATGAAGGCAGTTCAGGAATGATGCAGTAATGAAACCACTAAATAGAAGCATGAGACTGAAGTCCTGGAAAATTTCAACACTTTGCCATTCCATACTGACAAGCTGAGCACTACACTTATATTTTAAGACAAGATGTCATAATGTGGAAAGCATTTCAATTCAACAGGATGGTAACTCGGTCTATGCATTTCATTAAAAGTGACTGAACAAAATTGTAGCTCCAATCTAAGCAGATGGCCAGCTTCAAAATATTTGTTGTATACACCTCCTCCTAAAGAATGCCTCTTTAGTATTACCTATTTGTAAACAGGCTGAAAGTGGTTTAGGATCTTCTTAGTGCTATGGCAGATTCTAAGCTTTTAAAAGTATGTAGCCACAAATTAAAAACAGGTGACACCTAATGAGATGCTGAATGCAATTCAAATGCTGGTTTTGATTAATAAAACTTTATCTGCTTGATTCCTTATTATCTATGACAATGTTGTCTCCAAATTGAATCTGCCTGCCCAGCACAATCAATCCCAGAAATGATGGTTTGGATCCCTTCTCATTAGGGTGACAGAAGGGCAGCATGGTTATTCACAAATATTTATCTATTTTTAAATTTTAAAATACTACATAATACTCTTCCATTGCCTTTCTACTTTCAGAAAACAAACTGTAAAAACACACTTCAGGCTAGCTTTAAAATAAAGTAATAAAGTAAAGTAAATAAAATAAAGTAAAAGAAAATAAATATATTCAGGCCTACAACAGAAAAGACCCAGATAATGTTTGACTCTAAATAGAAGAGATGTAAGTTTTAGCAAAACCATTCAAAGTATAACTGCCGAGTTACAATTGTCTCAGGCTGCATTTTGGTTTACCATAGAGCAGGGGCAGGCAACCCAAAACACTCAAAGAGCCACTTGGACCCGTTTCCCACCAAAAACAAAACACCGGGAGCCGCAAAATCCTTTTGATATCTAAAATTAAGATAACACTGCATATATCCTTTTTTTACCTTTATTATAGGTGTGTGTGTGTGTGTTTGTGTGTGTGTGTATGTGTATGTATGTATATATATATATATGTATATATTTGTTTTCTGACCTACATATGTATGTATGTATGTATGTGTGTGTGTGTGTGTATACACACACACACACGCACACACGCACGCACACACGCACACACACACACACACATTAAAAATAAAAATAAAAATATGACTTTTGGGAATATCCATACTATTAAAACAATGATCACCAAGAGAATGCTTTAAGAGAATAAAATTACATAGGTAAAAAAAGGATATTTGCAGTGTTATCTTCATTTTAGATGTCAAAAGGGTCTCTCTGTGTGTGTGTCTCTCTCTCTCTCCCTCCCTCTCTGGTCTGCCACTCCTCTTCCCCCACTCTCTTTCTTTCTCTCTCTCTCTCTCTCTCTCTCCCTCTTTCTCCCCCCCTCCTATCTGCTGCTCACCTGGCAAGCTTCAAGCTGTTGTCCAACAACTCAGGGGTAGGCAACCTTGTCTCTTTTATGACTCATGGACTTCAACTCCCAGAATTCCTGAGTCAGCCTAACTGGGCTAGCTAGCTCTCTTCTGCCCTTCCTGCTTCCTGCAGAGATGCAGCAAAGGGAGGAGCTCCGCCCAGTAAGCTTTTCAGCTCCTCGGAGAACACTGTGAGTGCACTCTCTTTTACATATACACACACAAACACACACACACACACACACACACAGAGTGAGTGAGAGAGAGAGAGAAAGAGAGAGAAAAGCAGGGAAGCGCAATTGCCTGTCTCTGTCTCTGTCTCTCTCTGCAAAGGCAGAGGAGGCTGGGAGCCACAGGGGAAGGCTCAAAGAGCCGCATGCGGCTCCGGAGCCGCAGGTTGCCGACCTGTGCCATAGAGCATGGGTGTCAAATTTGATCGTGTCACATGACATATCGTGACAGATCACGACGTTTCCTGTCTTTGCGGAGCCAGGGTGGGTGTGGCTTGCAAGTGATGCTTCTGGCCTGTGGGCCACCAGTTTGACACCTCTGCCATAGGGCATTGATAAAATAATTATTTTTAAGAAGGATCATGTTAAATTTAATTTAGCAAAAGGAGTTCCATAGTGCATATCTCTCTCCCTCCCTCCCTCCCTCCCTCCTTCCCTCTGGGTGTAACATGGGTTAGAGCATTGATAGTGACTTCATACTGACACTGTACATTTCTACAGAATTTGGACATTACCTGGGTATCTTAAAATTAATAGCACTCCTAAGTGAGAATGAAGTTTGTTTTGAACATAATTGTTAAAATAAGAATGATTATAAAAATGCACAGATTGTGAATTGGTTTATACCTATATTAAGATTATGAAACAAAATACAAAGGCCATCTATCTGAACACTGTATTACTAAGCTATGTCATTCAAAATAGCAAATTGTTCAAATTAAAGAAATCTAAATTAAGCTATGGCAATGCAGTAATTTCAGAAAATAATTGTATGATTTTCATTCACAGCACAATATAATTTATTAAACGGAGACAGAAAAACTAAACAGAAAGAAAACTTAACACATCTTATTTTAAAGCAAGCATTAGTAACACAAATAACTCAGTAGTAAGAACTGCATAACTTTGCCAATGATAACATTTACCTCATTGGAAGGGGAGGCAGGAGATGTAAAAATAGTCTTCCAATAGGACCACGCAAACATAACAAATGACAGATGAAAAATCACAAGGTAGACAACTGCAATAAAAATACAAGTTAGATATCAGTGAAAACTGTTAAAAAGAGCAAAAACGTAAAATGAAAAAGAGATAGGGGAATAATGCAACATTTCATTTGCCCTATTAGCAAAATAAATTTGGAGACATAATTGTAGAATATGAGATTGCACAGAACCTAGAGTAATAGTCAACAATAAATCAACAATAGGCTCATACAAAACTTAGATCAGTTCCAATTGAGTCAAATAACAATTATAGGTAGCTGGCAAACAAAAATCAGAAGTGGATTTGAAGCCTGGCTTGTAAACCAAAGTGTGAAATTATAGGTATGGATGTTGTTCTATCATAGAAACTAATACAAGCACAAAAGGATGCTCCAAGCATATGGATTACTGCAATTTAGTTTACATAGGGCTGCTCTTAAAGAATATCTAAAAGCAGTAACTGGTTTAGAATGCTGGGGCAAGTGAAGTTTTGAGTGTCTACCAGTTTACCCAAGTAAAATTGCATTGCTATAGTTGCTTTCTAGATCCAATTCAAGGTACTGGTTATCATCTTTCAAGCTCCACATGGCACAGACCCAGGTTAGTTGTGGGATGGCCTCTCACTAATAGTATCTATGCTCCTATTATGTTAGATAGCTGAGCACGCTCCAGGTCCCCTTTCTTAAATCCTGCCACCTGATAGTTGACTCAGCCTTTTGGAGTAGTCTCCCTCCTGAGATACAAGGGATTCCTTCTGTTTGAATCTTCCACCTGGCTTTTGCCCCTAACATTAGACTAGGGTATGGGTTGAATTGGAAGCTGTTTAGTCTGGAGCCTGGAGCAGGGAAGACTTCTGATTTTAGCTGTGTTTTTATGGATCATTGTAAGCTGCGTAGAATCATTATACAAGATAGGTAGCCAAATAAGTCCCGATGGAGTTTCTTGTTTTCTAGTCAATTTACTTTAAACAGCCAATATTAATTCAATTATTTGGAGACCCTGATCTTTCCATGTTTTGAAAATGACTTGTAGGAATAGTATACAAACAGACAGGCACACACACACAAAAAACCTGAGATACATAGATACATATATGAGGAATAGAAATTGCCAGGATTGGTTTCAATTGATGATGGCAACCATAGTAACTAGTAATTGCACTGGAATTTTCTCTTTGCTTTTTATTTTTTTCTGGGTTTAAAAATCAGGGCTGTCTTTTTTTTAGATAAGTATTGATAACAGTATTGATAACACAAGCGAGTTTTTCCTGAGGTTTCTAAACAGAGTTCAGAATCAAAGGTGCATTTTCCTGAATAAAGAATATGATAGCAATAGTATATGCAATTTGAGATAAGCACTATAAATATTATAAATTGTATTTTATTATTAGAAGATATGGAGCTAGAAATCATTATGTGTTGAAATCCTTGCATTCTAATGAAATCCTTTTTTAAAAATTATTTTTACTTTTAATTACATTTTTCATTTGGCTTTAAGGGTTATTGTGTTTTTACTGTTTTCCATATTTTGTCTATTGGTTGTGTTATGTGGTTGTTTTTAATATGTGAGCCGCTCAGAGTTACAAATATGAGATGTGTGGCTATACAAATTGAATACATTTGAATTAATAAAATCCAGCCTTAGTTTCAGAAAAGCTCATCCTCTATTTCACCTGGATATGCTCAGTCTGCCAACATAATCTGCTACTCGTAATTTATATCTTTCTTAGTTCTTTAATTATGAATATTTATAATAAGAAAATATTATAATCCATGAGAAACTATTCTATCCTGGTACTTTCATTCTTCTTATTTAACATCTGCATTTATATCTGCATGGAATCATGCGTTGTAAATATAACACTCAGTTTTATATCTCAACTATGGCCTGAACATAGGCTGCATCAACTGTCAATTTCTAAACAGACCAGAGTGCAATCTCAGGCAGTGCTTCACTGACTCTCAAAATGAAGTTTATAATAACTATAAATTAGCCAGGACCTGGATAGCTCCTAACCCATGCATTGTATAGTCATCTAAAATGCAAAGGACCAGGAGTTCAATTCCCAGTACAGGGTTTCAACTGCATAGAGTAATATCTTGCTACTTGCATCTGAAGTGTCCCAACAAAGCAGAGGTGTCAAAATGCTGGCCCATGGCCGGTTGCATCATGCAGAAGCCACACCCACCCCAGCTCCGGCAATGCAAAAAAAGTCATGATATGTCGCAACACGTCATGTGACACAGCAAGTTTGATACCCATGCAATAAAGGATCAAATCGGTTGTGCGGTGACTCCTGACAGTCACTATAATTGAAAGCACCTTGTGTAAAGATAATGAAATTCGCTCCTGGGGATGGGCTGAAGGTCATGTGATGCCCAGTATGGAAGCATGACATAAGAGCTGTATGTTTCTGCTCGCGGGCTTAAGGAAAGGCGGCCTGATTATATCATTCTAATTCAAGATAGCTTCTAAATAATTCTCCTAAAACCTTTTTTTTGGGAATAGATCAAGATGCTTTTTTTTAAACTGGCTTTAACATTATGTTAATCCTTTGCAATGTGTTTAAGGTATTTACTTAGAGATCCATTATTGCTATTGCCTTAGCAAAAAAGAGATTTGGAGATTTTAATCTTATACAGTTGGAAAAGATGATTAAAGAGTCACTTTTGTTTTATGTTAGAGTCCCCCCGCCCCCCAATGAACTGTATCAAGTATTTATAGCAGTTAAAATTAAATTGGGGCTACCATTTTCAGAAAAATCTGACTATAGGAGAAAGGAGATCCAGATTTCTAAGTTTTATTCCAGTTTCTGTAATTATCAACTCAGACTATTTTTCACAGCGATTGGCTAGTCTATGCATCTCGCTATTAGGAATGATTAAATAAGGATTCCTTTTCTAAATACGCATTAAGAAACTTACTTGTCACCAAGCCAAGGACTTAATTTCTTTAACGTTAGGGTAAGAACAAGGTTGCATTGTAGCACCTAAATCTGTGACCAGAAAAACCTGAAGTATATTTTTTGGGAAAGTCTGTTTCCTAATGCTGGATTGTATCAGCAAAGGTTTATTCATTCTTCTCTCCTTGGACATTAGAAAACTGGTTGGCAGACTAAGATGGGGAAAGAATCATTATTTTGCTGCTGCTTGTTATTTTTAAGTCTTTCTCTAAAAGTTTAAAGCTGCTGTTTTCACACATTTTTTTTTACTTTTTTCTCCCATTACTATCTTTCCAGATCTTATTAGCAGCACCCGTGCTAAAGAACACTTGAGTTGTTGCTACTATCATCTTTGATCTTGACAAGATATTCCTTCTAGAATCTTCCAGCCAACAAGTTCCTGATACTTAATTACAGCTGCAGAGAGTTTTGTAGAACAAATTAGTTTGCTTTTTAAACAGATAATCTTACAAAATTACAGATGTCAAAAGGAAATTTCTGATTTCCTATTCTCTAATTTAGCACCTGTTTCCTTCTTTCTGCATCTTTTCTCCATTTCCTATAATCATCTGTAATTGGCTTTTCCATACCATTTTCCACAGAAAAAAAAACAAAGAACAAAGAATCCAATTCCATTATTTTGCATTTTAAAGGCTGTTAAAGGAGAGACATTGCTGGGGAAACCAGAACATTCTGGGATGGAATTTAGAGGGAAAGAGTAAGAATATTTTTCAAATCTGTATTTTAATATAGATGATTGCTGATCTGAACCTCACAAGCGAAGTTGCAGCAATATTTAGTTTACAGAAAAAGACATGCAACCAACTCAAAACATTTGTACAATTGTCATTTGTGCTATTCATTATTTTTATTTGTATCCCACCTTTAATTTTTACAAATAACTCAAGGCGGCAAACATATACAACACATCTCCCACCTTCTGTTTTCTCCACAACAATCCAGTCAAGTGGGTTAGTCTAAGAGAGTGATTGGCCCAAAGTCACCTAGTTGACTTTCATGGCTAAGGCATGACTTGAATTCATGGTCTCCTGCTTTCTAGCCTGGTGCCTTAATCACTAGACTAAACTATCCTGCTGAATGTAGGTTAGAGGGCACACAAGTATTTATTGGATGGAAAATGGAAAGTACTCTGCATATTTTTTGAGATACTTTCTGGCTACAAAAACCTATTTTTGCTTATTTAGCTTAGCAATTCTTGTGGATGCTTGATTTGATGAACTGTAAGCTTATGCTGCTTCTGTTGCTTTAGAAAACTGAGTGATTTTAGATTTTAGGCAAGTGTCAGCAATATTTCTGTTGCCAAGATCCCACTTTTTCAACAGCTGAAGAAATCCATCACATGACTGAAAGGCATGATGCTGGAATTATCTTTTTTTCTTTCCAAAATTGAAGCAATTAGTAATTTTGCAAGATTAAACTCAAATACTCTATGACTTTACACATGCACAGATATAAAATATTTTACAAAGAAAGAATCATACCTTTTTCTCCAACTGAGGTAATTGTAACTGGAGAAAAACAAAACGAGCGTGAGTATATCTGACAATTTTAGAAATTGAGCACATTAATAAAACACAATGTATTCAAACATATTAACTTAATTGAAGAGAATGTGCATTTTGTCATTCTCCACTCAAAAAAACCTATCTATTTACATAGGTAATAACAAAACAATTGAAGGACTATGAACGTTTTTCCCTGGGGAAATGGAATGATTTTGTTTGCCTGCCACTGGCAAACAATTCCCCATTTGTCTGTTCATAGCATGTTTGCTTCTGACAAACAGACATGCTGAATCGGTGGTTCCTTCAATTGTGTTTATTTCATATTTCCTTCAAGAGATGCAGATTATGAAAATGATGAAAGTTATATAATGGCAGCAGACAAAAATTCAGGCAGAGGGCCCCAGTTTATATCATCACATCACAGCTTAATAAACTGAAATGATAACAAATCTAAGACGTCTGCCAGTTCCATCCTTTTTGGTGTGCAATAATCAAGTTATAATTTCCTTTTTAAAAAATGTTAAGATTTTTATCCCTCTTTATCAGCAAGAGGTCAAGGTGGCATAAACTGCACTGCCTGCTCCAATTTTTCCACACAATCACCTTGGGGAGGTAGCATGGGCTGAGAAAGAACAGTCCAAAGTCACCCACTAAGTTTTCATGACCGAGAATGGACTTGAAACTGTACCTCTCTGGACCCAGCATAGCCTTTTAATCCTTGCACCAGACAATGGTTTTCAGATACAGAAAAACCTAATGTTTTAAACAGATTTCAGTGTCACAAAAGTTTCAAGAGTTAAATTAAGCACCCAAGCTTTATTAGGGCAAAATGGTGAAAAATGATATTCATACCTTTCATTTTTTGATCTGTGAGGAATCACTGAGTGAGTCATTACAAGATATTTCGAAAAACCATGGGTTTGTAATCTGGTATTTACTAGTAATTGTATATATTCCTGGATAAGCCAACTCTCAAAGTTTTAACCAAAATACCATGAAAAATACACCAGAAGCAGATAAGCCAACTCTCAAAATTCTCATATGCTTTAATTTTTACAATTGTCCTATCTATGGGTAGTGTATTTTTCATGGTATTTTGGTTTAAAAATTTGAGAGCTGGTTTATTCATAGGTGGTCTTATCTGCGAATATATGTGGGTAATTTTAAAAACTATTACTGATAATACTTTTTATTATCACTATTGGTGTCACAGTGGTTAGAATGCAGTATTCAGACTGACTCTGCCCACTTCCATGAGTTTGATCCTGACAGTCTCAAGGATGATTCAGCCTTCCATCCTTCTGAGGCTGGTAAAATGAGGTTCCAGATTGTTGGAGGCAATATGCTGATTCTTTAAACCACTTAGAGCAGTGGTTCTCAACCTGTGGGTCAGGACCGCATTTGGGGTCGAACGACCATTTCATGGGGGTTGCCAAACAACGTAGTCTGCCATTTTTTCCCCTTTTCCTTAGCTGTGCTACTCCCTTTCATTCTATTTTTTGAAAGCCAATAGAATAGACTTTCTTGAATAGAGTCTAATTCTATTGGCTTTCAAAAGCCAATAGGAATTGTCCAGGCTGTCTCTGCCCTGCTGAGCCCGCCAAAAGTCCCATTCTGCAAACGGTGCTGCAAGTTGTCTGCAGCGAAGGTGAGCAGTCTGGAAGTTTCCACCCCTCCCTGCTGAGCAACTACTAAAAATGTCCAGGGGTGGGAGGCCGGCAGGCGCAGGGAGGGTTGCTGGCGCGCATGGGGCTCGGCAGGTGCCTTACCTCCCTTGGGCTGGGCCAGCTGGTGGCCCAGCCGGTGGTCGGCCTGCGCCATCTCTGCCGCTTGCCAGCTACGCCTTGGCCGGCGCAAGGGGCGGCACCACGCATGCGCAGCGCTCCCGGGCAGGGAAAGTCCTTGACTTACGACCGGTTGGGTAGTCCTCGACTTACAACCAGTTGGGGTCACGGCATTAAAAAGGTTGAGAACTACTGGCTTAGAGAGTGCTGCAAAGCACTATGAAGCAGTATAAAAGTTTTAAGTGCTGTTGCTATAATCATTAATTTTCTTTCCCTTAAATTTAACATTAATTGGTATGTTTAATATTTAGCCTTGAAATTAACACACATATTCAATAAGAAGTTTAAATACAGCTAATTCCAATGTTGTTATTATTTGCTTGATAGCTTTATCCCATATATGGCTATTCAAAACAATATTTGCAAGCTCAGTATACCTTAGCTCCATTGGATATAAGAGCTCTTAAATAATGTTTCCTTCTCAGATAATACCATCGTAGTTCAGCCTCAAAGAATACAATGGCATTTGAAAAGTACAATAGAAAAGACTATATTATACCAGTATACTGTGAATAATAAAATAATAATACAAAATCTAATAAAGATTTTTACCGTGCCTTTATTACTTCATAGCAGCAAACAGATCTAACAGTCCTTCTTCCTCCTATTTTTCCCACAACAATAACCTTGTGAACTGGATTGGATGGAGAAAGAGAGCCCAAGGTCACCCAGCTAGTTTTGTGTTTGTTGGGGTCTGATGCCATCTGAGTTTTTCAGTATTTTGTGTCTGTACTATTATTTGTGTGTGTGTGTGGGAGGTTTCCTGGCTATAAGCCACTAAAAAACTGTTAAATTACAGCAGAATATACATTTCACCTCACAAACACATTTTTAAGCCAAAGACAATATTAGCTAGATGTTGTCATCTACTGGAACAAGGATCCTAAATGCAGTAAGTTATGATTTAACACTTTGGATTGTAACTGGCAGTATTTGTGATCAGATATCCTTACAAAATAACAGACTAAATCAATGGTGTCTGAAGTAATACGGAGAGTTAATCTACATATGTTATGTCTCTTCCATAACAAAGTACACAAATTATATATATTTACATTTAATTCACATTAAATGACAGATATGGATGCCAGCAATTTGTCATTAATAAACATTCAGGAGCAACAGTTCACTATGGTCTTTCCTTTTAATCCGCCATTTTCCATTCCATCCCCATGACTGTGAAGTATCATGCCTGGAGTTTTAACTTGATCTCATCAATAGCAGAGTTACCTTGTGATGAGTGGCCCATAAATTTAATAAACAGTTAAATAAATAAAAAGATAGGTGGCAATTATCTTTGCAGTAGCATCAGATCCAATAGGTCAGGGGTGTCAAACTCGAAATGTCATGTGACGTGTCGCGATGTATCGTGACTTTTTTCCCATTGCCGGCAATGGGGTGGGCGCAGTTTCGGCATGACGCATCTGGCCCCTGGCCTGGCAGTTTGACACCCCTGCAATAGGTGACTAAGTCATTATAACACAAAATACTATATACACCATTTGAGATGCAAATCAGCCAAACCGGCATTGTACATTGAAGAAAATGTCACTACCATCCCCATCTAGCACCTACCTGCAGAGAGATAGGAATAAATTTCTCCTAGTGACAAAATAGTACTTCTCCGGATATGATTGAAATGCATTTCACACAAGCTCCAACCCCCCTGATCAATAGTGAAGGATGCTGATACTTTAGCAGTTTCTAGAAAACTAAATGTGGATTAGCATCTTGCCTAGAGCATTTTGTTTGGCTCTTTTCTTGAAATGATAGCTTAGTAAGTTTCAGTAAGCTTTGCAAAGACTTTCTTGAGGACTGAGCCATTTACGATCCTTCAAATCCAACATGGATGGAAGCCAGCAAAGCTATTGTGAAAACCTTGGCATCTTTTTTACCTACCCTGAATCATCTGTATTCCACAGATTGTGTTGGTAATAATAAGTTCTGACTTATTTTATAATAACAACTTATTTTGGAAATTCAAGCTATTGGTTGGCTCATTGATTACTTCTAGGAATAATTAAAAGCATTCCAAGTTGCTCAGAAATCTGTCAATTTTACACCTCTTTCATTGTGACAGTTTTTGTTTTTTTCCCCTTTATGTATACATGTGTATATGTTTGTGTGTGTGTGTGTGAATATATATGAAATTTATAGAAGGAAACTATTTGACTTTATCTTATCTTACAATTTCAATTTGAATGAGCTTGTTTGAGCAAACAATTGCTACTTGGAGCTTTTTTTCAAATTATGTAGGAATAATTTCTAGTATGATGCTGAGAAAGAAGGATCACACAGCTTCTCACAACTTTCCCCATATTCAATCTGAGAAGCATACTAGACAATACTTTAGGAACAGTTGGAGAAACCAGTTTTCTATTCCAAAAACATTTCTGGTAAGGATATATAGCAAACTGGAATCATTAGTTCTAAATATGGATAGAGATACAGTAATTCAAAGCAGAAGAGTTTTGAGTAAAAACCTGATTGTCTGGGTATTTATGAAAAAAAGAATGGAAAAAAGCCCAGGAAATTAAGGGAAAACCAGTAGGAATTCAAGGGGAGGGAGGGGAGAGAAGGCAGCAGGGAGATGGGGTAAACTGGGACGTGACAACTGGGAGCACTGGAAGAAAGGAAAAGAGATGGGATAATATCTTGTCCTATCTATCCTGTAAAATCCCTCCAAAGCCAAAACAGAAATATTCCAGGTTTTGTTTCTGCTGAATCACAGCTGATCTGGAATGATTTGCCAAAATTTCCAAAAGAAAAACAGTTTGTTTAGGGTTAAAAACCAAACAAATGTTCTCTTCTGTGCACATCCCTACCACTATGTTGTAAAAAAATACACAACTTACAAATTATTGCTGAAGAAAAAAATGGGAAAATAATTATCAAAAAAATTGCAATTGGGTAATGTACTGCAAGTGTACTTTACATAATGTAAAGTGAATACTGGACTTATCTAGACAACCCGTGACCTGCTGGGTTATCGTTTCAGAGATATTTCCATAACTAAATAGAGAAATAGAATGATCATGGGTGGGTTAAAAAAGCAGTGGCAGTAGGAACAACTTCCAGCTGCCTTCCCTATTGAGTTTCCTTGGGGAAAGCTGGCAAGAAGCCACCAGAAATCTCCCTTCCTTTCCCTTTTCTTCTCTT